CTTAATTTCTCTCACTTTTCTTTTCTTTTTGGCACCGTTTGAATAGACAGATGCGTGTATATCTACTCAACAATCACTGCGTGTTCGTACTGCAAATTCATATCATGGATAATAAGCCAATGGCCGTTAAACAGATACCCCGTGTTTCCGTTTTTTAATATATAAAGAACGCATTTTAGAAAATTTTAATTATCGTTTTTATAAAACATTTCATAGTTTTTGTAAATTATTTAATATTTTTTTTATTTGTTCTTAATAAATAGGGTCAATAAAAACTTAACGTTAAATTACTAACATAAATATTAATAGTTATAAGTTAGGTACATTGCTATTGAATAAGAGTAAAAGTGTCATTATAATAATTTTTAAAAGATTAAAAAGAAAGCAACTTCAACTATTTGTAATAATCTGTGTAAGTTAATTTAAAATGTTTCGTAAAAGAGACTAAAGGGTATTATTAGGCTTCTCATATTTTCTTGTGGTGACGTTTGGATTTAGACCAATTGGATATTCTTCAATGATGTGTGTATTTATTTATACATTTGCCCTCAAAATGGTTTAGCAGAAAATTTTCCAATGGCCATAACGACTTGGAGTCCACCCTTGTGGAAAAGACCAAAGTAGCCTGCAGTAGGCTATGTCTTCCTTTTTTTGCCATACTTTTGAATCTTTTCATATTTAAGGTGTTGATTCTATTATAATTGAATAACAAATGATGATGTCTCCCCTAGTTTTTATGTAAACATGTAGCTATTTGAAATTTTAATTTGTTATCCCATTATAAAATAAGTCAATATTAAACCTTCTCGGACTGATGTTAATATTTGGTGACATCTTTTAACTCTAATTGGTAATAGCTAGTGATGCAGTTTATATTCTATATAAACTAGTTGTTTAAACAATTTTGTTATGCATATTTGATTTTATTTTTTTAATGTAGATTCCGGTTCTGTTACTTGACATAATTTTTAAGTATATTATTAATGCTTATTTTTTTCTCCATTTTTAAATATTTATTAAATTTTATCTCTTTTTTTTATCATATCACTCATTAAATTTATTCTTCTTTTCTCTTTACTTAACTTGTTCTTCTCTCTAAAAAATATATACTTTAAAACATATAAAGCCTATCTTTGTTAAAGTTATTTAGAATTACATTTTGTTTCAAAAATCTGATAATTACATATTGATCGTATAATAATAGCAGTATTAGTAAATTCATTTTTAAATAGTTCAAAAAATAATTTAAGAATTTAATAATATGATTATCTTAAATTAAAATAAATATTGATAACTTAGAAATGTATTATTATTTTTATTATTATATAAATTGAATATATTAGTTTTTTTCTAACTATTATCAAAAATGATTCTAACTTATCCATGAAAAATCATTTAGTAAACTCAGCAGATAAATAGCTGAGTCATAACATGAAAATAATAGTTTATTTTATTGTCGTAACATTTGATTTAACTTGTTTTATTTAATATGCATTCAACACTATTTGTTTTTCAAACAAGTAAATTTTTCACTCAAATTTTCATTGTGAAAGGTTTCAACATTATGCTTTATGTATTTATAAAACATATCTATGACGATAGTTCATTGGGTTCCCTTTTGTCAATGACAGCTGTCAAACTGAACTAAACACACTTATTTTGCTGTCATTTTATTTATTTATTTTTTTGGTCTGAACATTTTTTTTATCAAACTCTTTTTGCTCTTTAAATGATTCTTTTTTAATGGGCAACTGTGCTTTTTCAATAGCCCAATAATGTCATCTAGGCTTAAACAAGTAACGCAATCTTTATTTTTCACATATTTAATTTGTTGTGGGCCGTGAAAGAAAAATATATTTTTTCCCATTCAGCTGTCTATGGTTGACAAGAAAACATAAAACTCTGTATAAAATAATTAAGTCCACACTTAAATTAATTCTCATGCTTAAAAATTTACATTTGAGTTTATATGCAAGTGTGTTACAAAGAAAAAGAAAAATATTTATATAAGCATTTTAATTTTTATAATTATAACACCTTTAGAAAAACTAAAATATAATTTTTATAAAATACAAAACTAATTTATAAATAATTTTTATTATAAAAATAAATATATATTTAAATTAATTGTATTTTTTAAACATAAAGCATTAATTAAAAAAACCTCAATTTTATTTTTAAAACACATTTTACTTTTTAAATTATAAAAAATTATTTTATTTTATATTTTTGCTTTTTATTCTACTCACAAAAGAATAAATGAAGTATTAAATTTTATATAAAATATTTGGTGATGTATGAACTTTTATATAATCTTTAAAAAAACTAAAAAAAATTATTATCTTTAAAATACAAACCTTTATTGTTACTCAAAATTTAGTATCAATCAAAACATCATTAATTACTATATTTTCTCTAATGATAAAAATTCATTGTTATATGTAATGCTTTTAATATTTTATTTATTATAACATAAAATTTTACTATTAATCTTCATATTCATGAAATCAATAAAATTTTTATAATATTTAACTTAAATCTAAAAAAATTTTAAGTCCTACAAATTCATCATTTTTTTAACACTTCATTTTAAATTTTTTTAAACTAAGTCCACCAATTTTCTTAATTTTTTATTAAAATAGATAGTTAATATTTATTATTAATACTTCATAAATTAATTTCTATACTTAAAACTTATATATTTTTTTTAAAAATTATATGTATGATAACATACTCAGAAATTTTTTGTCATATACCGATTATTAAACATTGTAATATGTGTTGTATTTATTATTTTGAATATGATTATGTTATTAGGTATAAGGTTACCATGGATTTAAGTCTATCTAGTTTGGCTAGGACTGGAAGAGAAAAATAACCTGACACATTTTCGTAGTTACTTTAGAAGTAACAACTAATATATTTATTTATTGTGCACAAATTTGCACAATTAAGCCTTATTAATTATACACTTAATTATTAATTAAAAATAGATTACATACTTCTATCTATCTTATTATTTTCATATTATAATTAATGAAGCTTGCACAGGATAAATAAACAGATAAATAATAAATAACAACAATCAAACATGTTTACACCCTATTGAAACTTATCTGCAGTTTTCGGCGAATTAAAAGACACACAACTAAAACTACATACAACATGCAGAATTCATTGCAAGAGAAGCAGATGCTGCTTAAGATTTGAGGCAATTATTTTAGTGACAAAACATAAAAACTAATTCTCCGAATCAAAGGAGTACAGCAGGTGTCCAAGGACTGCCAATGATAGATGATGATACAGTTGCTAAGTTTAGTACCTTCCATTATATTCACAAAAGCACAGCTAAAATAGCATGATAGTAATCTGGGGTCATACTTATAGGTGGGTGGATGGATGGAGGTGATTGTAATTACAATTAAGGAGACGAGAAAGCGTCACCGAGTTGTAACCACTTGGGTTCTTGGGTAGTGGCTGTGTTGGTTTCTGAACTGCCCATGAAAGCTTCAAAAGCGCTTTTAGCTTTGTTATAGGACTTGCGTTGCCGGATGCGTCGGAGGACTGCATGTTTGTCCAAGGTTTGAGAGGAAGCTTTGGACGACAGTGAAGACTTCTTCAAGTAAAGTTGGCTGGATATGGTACCTTCTGTTGCACACTCCTTGTCCCCTAGGCGATCACGAGTCTCCTTCTCGCTCTCTGTCAGAGCTGATTGAGATCTAGAAATTGTGAAAGCCATTGCTCTCGCTCTCTATGTTGAGAATCAGAAAGTTGGTATAGGAAAGGATTCATGACAAATGAAGTTCACATTTATAATGACACATACAAAGATGGTTTAATATCTTTTCTGTGTGTGAAATTTTTTGTTGTGTTTCAATTGGAAATGGTTTTACTTTCTTTCAGCCTGCTGTTTTACTAAAAAAAAGGTTACAGCCGAAAAAATGGCGGAAGAGACAAAGAGCGCGTGGCATAAGGATTGAGACCGTCAAGATTCAGTTGGCTCTCTTAAGCAGCATGGTGTCATACGTTCTTGATGCCACATTTTTACTTTTCCTACGTGGCTAGTTATGGTGAAGAGATATTTCATTTCATCACTTGATGCAAAACTGATACATCTGCATTGGGTTTGGAGCGATTCTAAAATATTATATGCTATAATCAATTATTAAAAGAAGAGGCGGTGAGTAATGAATCAATTTTCATATAGCGTAGGAAAGGGCGCAAGTAACTTTTTATAATCTGTAACATGTATAAGAAACATATGATAAGTGGCAGAGAAAAGAGCATATGCATAAAACTACCCCTAATTGAGCTCATATCCTAAAATACAAACGAAAACAATAGAGGATTAGCACCCTAATTACTGCAACTGTCAAGAAAAAAAAAAGCCATTCGATATCAAACAGTAATAGAAGTGTCAGTAAATACTCGAGCTAAAATTGGTTACTTGAATGGATGGTTCAGATCTCTTTATGAGAAAAACCACGGGCAGGCAAGCTGTTTTCGAGTAAACCAAGCGCTGCGCCCGGCTTTTTATGCTTTTCTCATCCGTCTTTTTATGCTTTTCTCACTTTACGCTTGAACATCAGCACAAGCAATTAGTTATACTAACTACACCTTATGATTAACTTAATATTAGATTTCAAATTCTACTGTCATTTAAGAAATTAAAATTTTGAAATGTTTTCTATCCGTGACAAATGCAAACATCGACTGGCAAAATATATAATTAGAAGTTATACTATTTTAATGAGGCTATCGGGTCATAACCAGAACTCAAAATCAAGATGCTCCTGTGCGGCAACTCCCAATAACCCAATTGTGATACTACTCGTACTGATGGTGTTAGAGTGACCATATTTGGGAACAGTTTCAATTGCGTAATAGGGACAAGCAAGATATCCGGTTGATCAGATGTAGATCCCTTGTACTAGACAAATAAGGTATTGAAAACGGGCATTTTGCATATTCACATGCCCATGATGGGACTTCATCCACACATCCTACTTTTGAACATGAATAATGACAATCGTATAATTTATTCATCATCATTTTGGTCAATATAACTCAATAAAAAGCCACTAACTACTCTCCGTGCTACAGGATTGGGAATCCCACGGCATAGACGTCCATCAATATATGCCAACAAGCCAGACAACACAAATTTTCCAATGCCCCATTTTCGAATGAAACTCACCTTCTGCACTTTTTGACTAGAGTTAGCTGGCACATCTTCACTGCCAACCTCTGACTTCTTTTCCCATTTTATGCTGAATATAAATTTGTTAGCCTGCCTTCGCAGTATGCGTATTGCAAAGCTGACAAAAAGATGCTCGCACAATGTCAAGACTGTTGGTCCTATTCTCCATTCCTGACAAATGTATGTCCCAGAATTAGTATCTTCATATATATTCAGGGAAAACTAACTATGCTTTTAGTTATTATATATGTTGAAGTATACATATTTCCGTTTGAGAAACGAGTCAACCATTGGATATGAATTAAACTTGATATTTGCTATAACCTCCTACTTATACTCCTGATAATCTTCCTATTTGTAAAATAAGTATTACATGAAAAAATTTATGCATTTATTATTTTCAGAAAATAAAATGTATAAAACATTTTCTTCATTTGGTAATTAGGATGATTTGTATGAATAAAGAGTAGGAGAATTTAGAATTATTCATTAAACCTACAATGTTAACATCATATGTGACATTGGAGGAGCCTCTAAACTAAACTAATGCATTCCAGGCATGCAGAGAAGTATTAGTTTAGGAGAGAACATAGGTGAGCCATCATCATAATCATGGAAAATCATTGCAGTGAAAAAATATAATAAGAAGATTGAAATATCAAATAGAGGAAAAAGATGAAATGGATAAATGAAATACGCTCTCCAGAATAGAACATACACTTTCTCCACGAAGACGGCTTAAAGGGCGCGACATAGTTGAGGGATCTCCTTTTAGCAAGGCCTTGCTCACAAGGAACTCCTTAACACGATCCATGATCTCATTGATAAGAGAATGATTTGGAGGTAGGTTTTTCAAGATAACCTAAACATGTATAAGACTCCATCATAACCATACAGTAAAGGGCAAAATTTAATATTTTTTCTACACAGTAAAAAACTCAAGAAAGCAAATGATTATAACAATGGGAGGATAAGAGGAGGTCCACCAGAAAACTAAAAAAGAAAATTACAAAGAAGCAAAATAAAATTCAAGAGTAATGATGCACAATGGCAGCCCAATCACTGCACATAACTCGCCAAGTACACACAACTGAACTATTACCTGATTGTCAATAACTCTAACTCTAAGGTATTCTTGTCTATAAACTGTATCCAGCATGGCTTGGATATATCCTTCAATGTATAACTGCACCAGGCCACATACCTAATTAGTAACTGACAATCAAGTCAAGATTTTCCAAAATCAAGATGGAAGAACTGAAAAGATAAATATTTCTTATCTTAAGCATAAATGCATTATAGATGCCTCTTCACAGATTTTTTAGAATACCTAAAATATATCTCATATCTTTATTATATCTTAAAGGATATCCAAGAAGTGGTTTCCATATTTCATTATATTTTTGTTAGGTAAGCCCTGAATGGGTTTGTATCTGTTAGTTGAGAACTTATAGTTAGTGATTGTCAGTCATTATTTTCTAACAGAATTGATAGATTTATGCCAATAAAGAACACGCCTGGGATTGAGATCAGGGCCAGACTGCCTCTGAAACAAAAACCAATGCCAGATCACTTGATATGATGTGATGCATTACAATAAAATGCAAAATATGAAGCATTAGCCCTAATTTATACTAATTATAGACTCTTAATCCTAAAGAACAAATAACTTCTTACAGATAAGATCCCAAAGATTAATATAAAGATCCTAAAAGGATAAGATATTCTAAGATATATTCAAGATATATTCAATATTTTTCATATATCATAATAAGACTTTATCCTCCATAACTAATTTCTTCAATAAATTTGTTATTAATATTCTAAAGGTCAGTTATATATTGTGTGGTAACAGTCCCACATTGATTGCATGTGTAATTATTGTAGTAATTACTTTTCCTTTTAGGACAAAACATTAGTAACCGTAGATACTATGGATGCAACAAAGATATTATTTAATACCTCATCAACTCCTGGACTTCGATCAAGCAATATCTTTCTGTCGGGGCCACCTTCCATCAATGCAGTTCCAAGAACTGATGGCTCCATAGCCAATTTTAGAATTCCTTGGTGAAAGCCACTCATCTTGAAAATTAAATTTGCCAAAAAATGCAAATGTCAGACACATAATAATACAATAGAGGATAAGTCCATACTATAAACGATAGTAACCAAATTTATACCAATCCATTAAAGCCATTTGCCTCTGCACCTTTCAGAACAGAGTCTGATATTTCAGCTACAGCTGCAAAAGCTATATTGGAACCTGCTGACCTCAACTGCTGAGCAGTCACAAATTGATTAATATGCTGATAGTCCATAATCACATTTGGAATTCAATAAAAAATTAATAGACAACAAAGAGCTAAGAACTTACAGTTTTCCCTAAATCACCAAAGTAGCGTTTTGTCCCTGAAAAACCTTTACCTTTGATATATTTACTTATTAATTTGAAAGTACCTGATCAAGCATGGCAGAATAAAAGAGTAATACAAATAGTTAGCAGAAATAACATAGAAATGCTTGTCCTAATGTAATAATTTGAAACAGTAGACAGACTAGTTGTTGGCACTTTTATTCTAATGAGAAATGAGCGGGCCTTCCTTCCTACTTATCTATCTGTTTATCCAAATATACAAGAACTTTGTTCAAGGAATATCATTGAGAAGAACACAACTCTTTGTTCAAAGTTCATACTGAATCTTCTAAAGATGGGGAATGGCCAAAAGGTAGTGCATAATTCGCATGCCATCATCATTGCCACCTTATCCATGAATTCAACTCTACTGTAAATAACCTGCTATTGCTGGGTAAAACTATTTACTGCAAAGCCACTACTCACTAAATCTCTTACGCCTATTGAAGTGCAAAGAAGATTATATCTTTGGTCCTGAAGTTCTCAGTCAAAAATCAAACTGGAAGGAAGATAAGATATGATAACACCATTATACTGCCATGTGAAGCTCTTATAAACATTGAATCTGTAAGTGACCAAATGGGTAAATTTTAGCCAAAGAACCACACTATTTGAAAAACCTATGAAACCAGTATAAATAAGACGTGCCATTTGGTTTCAGACTTTGACTTTTAACTAGTATAGGAGCCTATGCAATGCACAGGTATTTTGTTTTAAAATAAATTTACATATAATTTAATAGTTAAAGAACAAAATTTTGTAAACATGAAACATTAGAATATATTATAAAGATCAAAAGACATTCAAAATTGATAATTTTATATCATTATAAAATCAATAAAATATAATACACTAATAAAGATTAGATCAATAATGAAGTATATCTCAACATAAGAGTAATTTACATATATATTGTGATAAAAAAATGTAAATGTTAAAATGTACACACATTTTATATTTGTGATACTGTGGTAACTAGAGATGAGTAAAAGATACTTTAATGTTAAAAACAAATTTGTTAGAATTAACTAAAGAAAGGATTGTGAGATATAGCATTTGAGAACAATACAAATTTTGAGAAAAAAATAAATGAAAGTGATGAACTCTACAATTTCTAACAAAGAAAACATGTTTTCTGCACAAAACTAAAAATATATAATTACTAAGAATTTTGACTAACAGTACTACAAATAATAGATTAAGTATTATGAATTTTATAAACGTAAACACAAATATTTATGAGAAATTTGAAGTTTATTTAAAGGTAATAAGAAAACTTTTATAAATGTAAAAATAGATATTTTCAGAAAATCTAAAATTTTATATAAGATAATAAAGAAAAGTTAAGAAACAACTTTGATTTTCAAAATTTAAAGCTTAATTAACAAAGAGGTGGATAAAAAATAAATCATTGCAGTCAATTTTAATACTAAAATACACGTGACAAATTGTGAAAGAGAATAGCTCTACTAAATGTTTCACTCCCAACCAGTAAACCCTTATTTATAATATAGAGATTGATTATAAAACTGTCACCATACTTTTATTTTGATTTCTGTTTTTAAAGTGTTGAATTTGGGCTTTAAGCCTAAATCAACCCCAAAAGTTAGTTCCCAAGGTAAAGATTGTTTTAGCCTTTATAAGCTCTTATTTAGCTATATCCATAGTCGATGTGAAACCTTAACACACTTCCTCATGCATAAGATTGAATAGTGTGGAAATTGTAGGAATTTTTTTTTTTTAATGCAACACTAGATAAGCCACGAGACTAGGAAAACCACGAGACCAAATAAGTTGCACTGGAAAATCCATGGGACAAGGTTGATTACATAGGGAGGCCAAATTTTACTCTTTTTTTTTTTCAATCAAGGGTGGCCCAATATAAAAGATATCATGTTGAATTTGGACTTTAAGTCTAACTCAACTCCAAAAGCTAGCTTATAAAATGAGAATTGTTTCAACTTTTATAAGTTCTTATTTAATCATATCTGTTAAAAAATTTGGGTTTAACTTACTCCCAAAAGTTAGCTTATAAGAGGAAGACTATCCTATCCCTTATAAAGAGTATTTTGGTTCTACTCCTAACAAATATAAAACATCTTAATACACCCCCTCACGCCCAGGACTGGACATATGGTATATGAAATTTGCAGGATTGAATATTTGCACGGGTGGACCCAATAGGACTGGACATTTATGGGCAACCCAACATTTAAACTAAAACAAGAAATATAGGATGAATTCGTGTGTTTTGACTACACACCGAAACATATATTTATAATAAGAACTGTCAATAAAAAATAAGAAGTTACTACAATTACAAAGATACTAATTTTCTATTTATAATATTATTATAATTACATTATTTCAATACTTTCCCTCAAGTAGGAGCATATAAATCATATGCACCAAACTTGTTGTATATATAACTAATTCAAGGACTTCTTAAAAACTTAGTATAGACATCTGTCAGTTGATCACGAGAATTTATAAAACTAATAATGATGTCTCCAGATAAAATCTTCTATCTAATGAAGTTATAGTCTATCTCAATGTGTTTAGTCCTCTCATAGAAAACTGAATTTGGCACAATATGTAAAGTTCTCTAATTATCACAAATAAGTGTCATCTCTCTAACTTATCCAAATCTTGAGTAGTTGTTTAAGCTATATAAGTTCACAAGTAGCTAAAGTCATAGTTTGATGCTTTGCTTTTGTCCTAGACTTTGCAACTACACTTTACCTCTTGCTTTTTTAGGAAACTAGATTTTCACCAATAAGGATACAATAGCCAGATGTAGACCTCCTATCACTAGGTGATCCTCCCCAATTTGCATTTGAATACCCTACAACCTGAGTATGTTCTTTGTCTTCATATAAGAGACCTTTTCCTTGAGCTCCTTTAATATATTTCAAAATGCAGATTACTGCATCTCATTGTCTATCACAAGGATAGTTAAGGAACTAACTACACTGACTGCGAAAGAGATACCTAGGCAAGTAACTGTTAGATAATTTAATTTTTCAACAAGTCTCCTATATCTTTCTGGATCTGAAAATGACTTCCCTTGACTTGGCAAAAGTTTGGTATTAGGATTCATAGGAGTATCAACAAGTTTGGCCCCCGTCAATCCTGTTTTCTCTAGAAAATCCATTGCATACTTCCTTTGAGAAATCACAACACCATTCTGGGGTTGTGTCACCTCAATCCCTACAAAGTATCGAAGGTGTTGCTTTATTTATTCAATGTCATGATGATCACTTCCTATAATGATAATGTCATCTACATACACAATTAAGTAAATACAACTTGAGGTTGAATGACGATAAAAAATGGAGTGATCTGTTTCACTTTGAGTCCTGCCAAATTGTTGAACTACCATGCTAAATTTGCCAAACCATGCCCTTCGAGATTGTTTAAAACCATAAAGAGATTTTCGGAGACGACAAACAAATCCTAAAGACTTCCCCCTAAGTAACAAATTTAGGAGATTGCTCCATATAGACTTCTTCTTCAAGATCACCATGAAGGAAAACATTTTTTATATCAAGCTGAAAAAGTGGCTAGTGACAAGTAGCAGCCATAGATATTAGTAACTAGACAGATGTCACTTTGGCTATTGGGGAGAAAGTGTCACTGTAGTCTAGACCAAATATTTGCGTATAACCTTTGGCCACCAAACCGGCCTTAAGGCGATCAATCTTACCATCAAGATCAACCTTGACCATATATATCCACCTGTAACCAACAAGAGACTTCCTAGGAGGAAGAGGAACAAGGTCCTAAATACCACTATTCTAAAGAGCACACATTTTAGCAATCATTGCTTGTTTTCAATTGGGATGTGAAAGAGCAGTACCTGTGGATTGAGCAATAGAAATAGAGGACAAGTAAGACAAACAATTATAATGGGAAGAGGACAACCGATGATAACTTAGAAACATAATGAAAAGAGAGATTACAAGTAGAATATATACCTTTACAAAGAGTATTGGAAAGTTTAGTCTTAGGAGGTAAGCCCAGAGGAGAGATGGTGAGTGGCACCAGAAGCGAGTCAGAAGTCAGATCATCAGACATTGGCAGTATAGAGAGGGGCCGGCAATGGTGATATACCTGTAAAGAGCATGAAGGAGGTGGTGCAGCAAAAGCATGAGATGGTTCTGATGGAACATAATAGAAAGTCACAAAAGCTAGAGGAGGGGAAGGAGATTTAGGGTGAGATATAGATCTGCATCAAATTTCCTCAAAAACAGATTGATTTCCGACAATATCTAGTTAGAATGAAAGGAGTATCCTGTCTGGCCTGGCCGGTGTTTTTTTCCTCGAGCATCTCCGAACCTGACTCTGCTTATTATCTAGGCGTGAGCAAACTATTTAGGTCTTGTCGATCCGATCCATGCTGTCTTTCAAATCCCTATTCCTTCATCCGACCGTACTAGATAAGACGCGTTGCCCCTATGTCAGCAAAGAATGATGAATTTGTTTGTACAATACGTTTCAACCTTCGCTTCGAGACCCTCTGTATACCTTACTGCTGATGTTGATTCAGCTTATGATTCTGCTGATGATTGTGTGCCATTAACTCAGAGGGGAAATCAAACGAGACCCCACCCTGTTAGTTATAGTTAGTAGCGCCGAGCGAGAAACGTCTGTTGACCTGAGGCTAGCAAGGTTTAGGTCGGAGAATCTTCTGCTTTGGTAGCTGATTCTACAGCTTTGGGGATTCCGCTGATGAAGGATTTGGCCCGAACTGAACAGAAAGGCCTTATACGCGCTATTTCTTAAATTCATTTTTGGCTTTCGCGCCGAAGGCGCAGTAGTTCATAGAATCTGATCTGTGCTTAGTTCCATCGGTCCTTACTTTAGTCGGTCCGGGGAGCCTATTTTGATTATTTCACCAGGGGAGGGGATAGGGACGGGAAGCCTTAAACAGTATATGGGGGGTCAGAAAGGGACGACGGATTCCCCCCAACCCAAGATTCATCAAGGGGTTTAGGGGCAAGTACAGAAAGTCATAGCCCAAGTTTCAGTTCAGCCACTTCCTTCGCTAGTGATGGGACATCTAAGTCAGCAGCCGCATCTGTTCTTGTGAAGCACAAGCAGAGCCAAGGCCAATTCTACTAGTTAATTTAAACTAATAATCATCAACAGAAGAAGCTGAAGAAACTGTCTTATCTTAGTGGGACCATACTAAAACAAGAGGACTGGGTGTAAAGAAAGGAATAGATTCAAAGAAGGTGACATCAATCAAAACTAAATATCAACAAAGAGCTGAAGAGTAACACTTATAACCTTTTTGAGACTTAGTGTAACCTAAAAAAACACATTTGTGAGAGCATGGTGAGAGTTTATCAAGCCTAGGACTAAAGTTATGAACAAAGCAAGTGAACCCAAAGACACAAGGGAATAAAGGGTGAAGGGACTGGTGAGGGTATAAGACTTAGTGAGAGCATGGTGAGGGTATAACCTTTTTGAGACTTAGTGTAACTTAAAAAAACACATTTGTGAGAGCGTGGTAAGAGCTTATCAAGCCTGGGACTAAAGTTATGATCAAAGCAGGTGAACCCAAAGACACAAGGGGATAAAGGGTGAAGGGACTGGTGAGGGTATAAGATAGAGTGAGGGAGACTTGGTTTTGAAGAACTGAGAATGACTAATAAAGTAACACGCAGTAAGAACAACATCACTCCAAAAACGATGAGGAACCTGACTATGACGCAACAGAGTACAAGCAGTTTCAATAAAATGTCTATTTTTTCGTTCAGCAACCTCATTTTGTTGTGGAGTATGGGCACAAGATGCCTATAGTCGATGGGAGACTTCAACGTAAAGATTTGTACAAGAAACAATGAAAACAGAAAAATTGTTTGTTTTCGATGTTTTTTGTACAAGTATTTGAAAACGAGAAATGGAATGAAAATAAAGTGGTAATTTTGTGATTAAAAGTGAGAACATGAAATGATAATAGAAAATGTTTTTTGAAACCAAACACCCCCTTGGATTTTCAATCCCCCTAGTAAGAAATCACTATAGAAATAGAGTAAGCCAAACAATCATGCAAGACATGTAAACTTGGGCTATTCATGATTAGGATAACAATTGCTAGAATATTAGGATACATACTGTATTAAGAGTTTTATTAGATGTGCAGGAGATAAGGTTAGTATTTCATAAAAGGCATATCATCCTATTAGCAGTTATGTTGAAATAAAAAATACTAAAGAATGTTGAAGTAAATCCAAAATGGATATATGTATTAATATTTATAAATATTAAGACTATTCAAAAAAATAAAAGCAAAGGAGCAATATGCACAATCTAATATATTAGGAAAATAGAAAAGCAAGGAATCTAAGATAGTTAACTAGTTACGTTCAAGGTGTTAAACTGAAGTTGTTAAAGGTAGGGAATCAGCTTAAGCAGTAGCAGTGGGGGATTCGGATTGGTTACGCATTTGGGAATTGAGCCTTAGTTCAGTTGTAGAAAGGCGAAACCCTTCGATGGAGAATTCTCTAATTCAGTTTGTTTTGTAATTTTAATTTAATAAAACATTAAATAAATATTCTTCCTTTTTTTCCCTTTTTGGTTGTTTTATCTCTTTTATTTTAATTTGAAAATAAAAGTGAGAGCAAACAGGTAACTAACAGAGCATGTCATATACCTAAGGTGAATCCTGGAAGATTTGCCAACCCACGGGATGGATCAAAGAATACATCAAGAGATGATGAAGCCAGATCATCAAAAATAGAAACAAAATCTGGGGGAAGCAAGGGGCTTCCTTTAGCAATATATATGGCCCTCATTGTGTACCTGGAGAAGCTCTTCAATTTTCAGTCATTACATTCAATACAAATTTGAAAAGAAAGTATATTGTAAGCTTACCATGAATAATGTTGAGCACATTTAATAAATAATTCACGCATTGTTATCAGAGCATGGGTAATCAAGACCCCATTCAACTCTACAACCATATTTTTTATGGGAGGCACCTGGGAAGAGAAAAATAAGAATTTGACCAAGTAAATAAGTATAGATCATGGTTTAGAGAAGATAAAAAATTCAATGCAGAATGTTAAACAACCTTAATCACACTATGAATTAAGGACCTCAGAGCCTCCTGGGTTGAGCTATAACTTGAATGTGACTCCCCAGGGATAAAATTTGCAATGATCTAAAAAATACAGGATATATTCTGAAATATAAATTAAGTCAAAATATTTAAACTAATGGAAAGATGGCCATTAAAGAAGAAGGAAACCTTTATCGGATGGATTTCAAAATGGTCAAAGTAAAATCGCTGGCTCTCTGAGTCATTAAGAGATGTTCTCCAAAATGACACAATTTTCATTAATGTCTCCTCGTCAAGGTTCAAATCAATTGGCTACACAAAACAATGTCAAATCATGTATAGTATTGTCTTCTGACAGTCTAAAAAAACTTGAAAGCAAACAGAACCCAGAAAGAAGGGGAAAATAAGGAAAAAAAAGCTAGTGTTCAGCTTTACCTGAAGAAAAATTGATGAGTATCTAAATTGCTTAACATTGGAACTGGATGTAAGTAGAACAAAAACAATCTTCAGTACACTATCGTTTGAGTCACTGTAATCTAATTGATGTCTGCGAAGCATTGATGCAAAAGGAGCTCCATTCCACTTAAGCTCCAAATTCATGTACTGGATCAATAATAATGAGATATGAATATGATCAATATAGTCCTTAACTGCAATAATTTCCTGAGACTTTAAATAAATTAAAGGTGAATTTAATAGTATAAGTCAGTCATGCAGTTCAATTAAGCATTTTAATTATATTACCTGTAAACTGAACTGGTTATATGACTGGTGATTGTTAGAAACAGTAATCATGTGCAAATTGCCAAGCTTTGCAATTACAATTGGTGTGAAATCTTTGCATTCATTGACGTCTTCCTCCTTCAGAATAGAAGATTAGTAATATCAGTAGCAATTAACACGTGTGCAAATGTTTCAAAACAGAAAAGTGAGGTTAAAACTTAGGGAAAAAAGGCATAACCATGCCTGCTATGCTTTCATGACACTACAACTTCACACACACTTCTTTTTGTCAATTTTTGAAAATGAACCACTGATGTATTATCCATGTAAAATCCTTAATTACAGATATATGTGAAATGGCCCTCTCAATTTGTATTACTCTATTTGGATAGACAGACCTAAGAGCTTGTACAAACTATAAACTGAGAAATGCTCAGTGTGATCCGATACAGCAGGAGGCAATATGTGCCTTTTGTTCCAAAACTAAATTAGTTTATTTATATTTATGCAGTACACACATATTACTCTTAAATTTGGGCTTAAGCATAACTCAACCCAAAAAATTAGTTCGTAACTTCTTTTAAGTTCTACTTTGGCCATATCATTAGTTAATGTAAGATTTCAAAACACCCCTTCATGCTCAAAATTAGACATTTAGAGTGTGAAAATTGTAGAAATGGTTTTCCTTTTTTTAATTGCACTGAGAAAGTTGTGGGACCAGGTAACCTACACTAGAAAAGCCGTGAGACCAAGTAAATTGCACTGGGAAATCCACATGACCAAGTTAATTACACTAGGAAAACCTATGAGATCAAGTTTTTTTCAATTTTATAATCAAGGATGACTCTATGTTGGATTTATAATAGGCTTTGATACCATCTTATTTTAGGCTTGAGCTTAACTCAACCTTAAAAGCTGACTCGTAAAATAAGAATGTTTATGTCTTTATAAGTTATATTTTAGCCATATTTGTAATTGATGTAGGATCTCAACAATTACCAACCATAAATATTGCTGAGAAGAAAGAAGAAATGAGAGACATAGAATGAATCCATGTGTCTAAACTACACAGTGAAACGTATTTATATTAGAAATCGTTAATACACGAATTAAATAATGAAATATACAATTATCTAATTATTGTAATTACAAGGATATTAACTTCCCTATTTCCAACATTCCTATAGTTATATATATGCCACATTGCCCCTAAAGCTAGAGGATATAAATCATGTGTACCAAGCTTGTCATATATATAACTAATCCAAGGACTTCTTAATGATTTGGTGTAGACATTTGCTAGTTGATCATTAGAATTCACAAAGATAATGATGATGTCTCCGTAAAAGATTTTTTCTCTATTGACATGATAGTCTAAGGTGACTAAAAAACGATTGAAGACCGATAGTTTGGTCATGTGCAAAGAAAACTTTTGAAGGCGCCAATAATGATTGCATGACTCTTAGTCCAATAAAGAGAGGTCGATGGAGACCCAAAAGAAACACAGATGAAGTTATTAAAAGAGACCTTTTGATTAACCAAATTTCTGAAAATTTGGTTTTTGATCGAGTTCAATGATGTCGTGTGATCCATGAGCCGGCCTCACCTAATGATATAAGGCTTAGTTGTTTTTGTTGACGTGATAATCTATCTCAATATGTTTAGTCTTCTCATGAAAAACAGGATTTGAGGCAATATGCAAGGCTGTTTGATTATCGTAGATAAGTGACATTTGTGCAACCACCCCAAATCTTAATTATTTGAGCAATTCTTTAAGCTAAATAAGTTTACTAGACTTTGCAGCCACATTTTTCTTTTTACTTTCCAAGAAATCAAATTACCACTAATAAAGATGCAGTAACCAAATGTAGACCTCCTATTACTAGGTGATACGGCCTAATATGCCTTTGAATACCTCACTACCTCAGTATGTCCTTTATCTTTATATAAGAGACATTTTCTTGGAGCTCCTTTAATAGACAAGTATAATGAAAGGAGAACAGGCGATTATAAGTTAAAGAAACATAATGAGGAGACAAATTACGAAGAGTGTATATCTTTTGAAGAGCAATAGGGAGTTCAATCTCAGGAAATAAGTCTGAAGGGAGAGAGTGAGTGACATCAAAGGCAAGTCTAAAAGAGGCCTCCCAGGCTGGAGGTAGCACAGATGGTGACTGATGTCAACAATGATATACAAATAATGGACGCAGCAAATGAGGTTGATCTTCAAGAGTAGGAAATAAAGCTGGTGGAAGATAGTGGTAAAGAATAAAAGCAGGAGAATGTAAAGAAATAGACACAGCAGCAGAAGTCAGAGGACTAGGGATAAAGAAAGTGACATCAATTGAGACCAAATAACAACAAAGGTTGGAGAATAACACTTATAACTTTTCAAAGACCTAGTGTAACCAAGAAAGATGCATTTGTGAGAGCAATATGAGAGTTTATCATGCCAGGACAAAGGTTATGAATAAAGCAAGTAGGTCCAAAGAGACGTGAAAGTAAAGGGTGGAGAGATTGGTGAGCATACAAGATCGAGTGAAGTATTTGATTTTAAAGAATAGATTATGGCATTTTGTTAATAAGGTAACAAGCAATAAGAATATCACTGCAAAAGTAAAGAACATGACTATAACACAATAAAGTACAAGCAATTTCAATTAAATGTTTATTTTTCTGTTTAGTAACCCCATTCTATTTGGGGGTATGAGTACAAGAGGTGTGATGAAAAATTCCATTAAAAGTCCTAAAATTTTGAAAGAAAGGAGATAAATATTCACATCCTGCTGCAATCATCTTCCCCGACCTTCAGTTTTGTAGGAAAACAAAATCTTTGGTGAAAGAAATGATACAACCAAGGGAGTGAATTAGACGACCGATGGATAGTAAGTTAAAAGGAGAACCAAGGAGATAAGAGACATGATCAATGGAAAGAAACGGAAGGTAGACAGTATAAGACCTTAAGATTGTGTTTGAGACCCATTATCATAGTGATGAAGGTACCTAGATGTAAAAATAGAAAAGAAAAGAAACTTATTACGAGTAATATGATCAATGGCCCTAGAATCAAGGACCCATGAACCAAAAAAAGAAGATTGAGATGCAACAACAAAAAAATTACTCGTGCAACAGAAATAGTGGAACCACAAGCCTGATGCTTAACATACTACCGAAAGAAGTCGTTGTAAGAGGGTGGTGTAGCGACATAGTTGCTAAAATTGGAGGTATGTATCTACAGAGGGGTAATAGCAGCCATAGGTCAGTCCCAAACAGCAGTGAATAGTACTGAAAAGTGTGGAACAGTACCAACACTGCCAAATATCTGAAAACGAGTGTCATGCAATTTGAAACAAACAAACAAGGATAGATCCAAGTCGAGCAGGTCTTGGCAAGTCAGAAAGACCAAAAAATGGTAAAAAATGGCGCCAAACGCACCGCCATGTGCGGACGATAACACAGCTAGGAGAGTGAAATGTGAAATAGAGATGACACGAGTGCATGTGAGGGCCCTATTTTCTGTGATTATGTGGGGATAGGCTGATTTGGGGGTGGCGCACTCACCGGAAAAGTTTTCAGAAAAGTTGTCAGAATAGTAACCAGCAGTGGCAAACATTGACTAGAGAGGAGGAAATCTGAAAACTCGAGGAAGAGCCCAGTTTTCTAGGAAAAAAAATGCAATAGGGAGAGTGGGCCCACAAGGTAATCACAGAATAGGATTTCCTCTCATCAAGCTCTAGATACCATGTTGAGAAGAAAGAAGAACAAGAAACAGAATGAATTTGTGTCTAAACTACATAGAAAAACATGTATATATAATAAAAATCATTAATACACGAATTAAATAATGAAATATACAATTACCTAAGTACCGAAATTACAAAGATATTATTTTTCCTATTTACAACATTACTATAATTACATATTTCTTACAAATATTAAACATGGAACCACTAACTTTAATGACAATCAACAAATATTAGATGTAGATAGATTCAAACACTTAATAGAGCCCAGAATACCTGTTTAACATGTTCAAGTAGGTGAACCGCAAACTGAGAAACTCTAAATTGAATTTTTGCACACATATCAAGAACTGTATCTCTCTTGAAATTATCAGAAATCTCACAAATTCGCAAAACTCGGGTTGGACCATCTGCATATATTTCATACCCCACTTTTTCAATTTCTAGGCCAGTATGCTCACTGGAATCCTTCATCTGATCTCTTGATCTTTTGTCTAAAAGCAAATGTGTAGCCAAAACCCTCTGTTGCCCAAGTTTGTAAAAAGGTTTCCATGCTTGCACCTTATCCAACTTAATATCTCGTAATTGAAGGCTACCTACAACAAAAATGAAAAGTGCATTAGATTATAACTAACTCTTGTATCACTACGTGCTTCTGACTTCAGATGCACCAACACACTAAAACAATAGAGGACTTAACAATACAACGAAACAATGCAATCAAAGTATGCCTTCTATAAAATATTGGTAAAAGAGAAGTGCAACTAAAGGTCACGGTCACAGAAACCTTTCTCAGTGTACTTTCTGTCAAAAAGTGGAAGCACATGAATGGTTTTATGTCAAACAATCCCCCCCGCCCCCCTCTGTTCCCCAACAAAGCTGTCCTTTGGACTGGGAAATGTGGACAATGCACAGTCCCATCCTACCTTGTGCAAAAATTTAACTCTTCTTAAAAGAACAGGGACAACAACAAGGATCATAGTCTAGACTGCATGGCCACAGAAGTTGTGTGTCATGTCATGAACCATCTATCACAAAAATTTAATTCATTGGGTGAAAACACATGAATGGTAACTAACATTTTCTTATTGAATTCATAACAAGAAATTTAAGATTAGATCACTCACTTTAAGTTGCACATGTGATATTTTTTGTTTGGGAAAGCACAAAACAAGAATCACAATTTAGGTAATCATGGCCAAAAATAAAATAAAAAATTCAATTTAGGAACATTAAACACTTTAGTGGTTAATGTATTTATTAAGATAAGAAAAAACGAGAAGGCATGTGACACGGGTTGTGTATTTATATTAATAAAGATAATCACAATCTTAGTTACGTAATTAAGAAAAAATATACGGTTACCTAATTACTATAGTTACATGGATCCTCTTTTCCTAAATAACATATTCACATATATTTAACACTCCCCCTCAAGCTGGAGCATATAAATCATATGTACCGAGTTTGTCATATATGTGCTTAATACCAGGACCCCTTACAAACTTTCTACAGTTGATCATTTGAATTGACAAAGCTTACAGCGATAACTCCAGATAAGATTTTTTCATGAAAGAAATGACAATCAATCTCAATGTTCTCCGTTCATGAAAGACTAGATTCGAGGCAATGTGTAAGGTTGTCTGGTTATCGCAAATGAGTGTCATTTAAGTATCTTCTCCAAATCTTAATTCTTTAAGTAGTTGTTTTAACCATTTAAGTTCATATGTGGCCAAAGTCATGGCTAGATATTCTACTTTTGCACTAGAAAGAGAAACAACATTTTACTTCTTGGTCTTCTAAGAAATCAGATTACCTCCAATCAAAACACTATAGTCAGAAATTGACCTTTTATCATGAGAGCTTGCATAACCTGCATTAGAATATCTAACAATCTTATCATGACTCTTGTCCTTGTACAAGAGATCTTTTGCTTGAAGCTCTTTTGATATGCTTCAAGATACAAATCAATGCATCTCAATATTCTTCACAGGAAGTATTAAGGAATTGACTTACCACACTAACAACAAAAGATATGTTAGATCGAGTAATCGTGAGATAATTTAGTTTACCAACCAATCTCATCTACTTTTCTAGGTTAGCAAGGACTCCCTTTGTTTTGGTAGAAGTTTAGAATTATAATCCATAAAAGTATCCATAGATGTAGCCCCCATTAAACCTATTTTTCTAATATATCCAATACATACTTCTTCTGAGAAATTACAATATCATGCTTAGATTGTGTCACTTCTATTCTCAAGAAATATCGAAGTTTACCAAAGTCTTTTATCTGAAAATGGTAACATAAATGGTTCTTCAACTATGTAATGCTATGAAGGTCACTGCTAGTGATAACAATATCATCCATATATACAACTAGGTAAATGCATCCTTTGGCTGAGTGGTGATAAAAGACTAAGTGATTAGCTTTACTCCGAAACAACCCAAACTGTTGAACAACAATATTGAATCTACCAAACCAAGCTCTTGGAAACTGTTTAAGACTATACACGGATTTTTGAAGACAACAAACTAATCCAAAAGACTCCCCTTGAGCAACAAATTCAGGAGGATGTTGTATATAAACTTCCTCATTAAGGTCGCAATGAGGGAATGCATTCTTAATGTCAAGTTGATGAAGGTTCTAATGGCAGATGGTAGCCATGGACAAGATCAAGCAAACAGAAGTCATTTGAGCTACTGGAGAGAATGTGTCACCATAATCTAGGTCAAAGATCTTGAGTATAACCTTTTGCACACAAGATGAGCTTTAAAGCAACCATTTGACAATCAGGACCAACTTTGACAGTGTATATCTGCCTATAACCCACAACAGATTTACCTAAAGGAAGAGGAACGATATCTCAAGTGCTATTGCTATGAAGCGCACACATTTTATCAAGCATTGTTTGACGCTAAGCAGGATGTAAGAGATCTTTTGTTGTATTTTTAGAAATAGAAACCAAGAACAAAGAAAAAAGACACATATTGGGAAGAGCCGAAGATATGATCAAACAGCTTAATGAAGAGGTATTACGAGTGAAACGCATACCTTTCTAAAGTGCAATAGGAAAATCAATGTCAAATGATATGGCCAGAAGACGCACATGCATTGAAGTCAGTAGAGAGTGACATGGTATGTCAACGGTGGTCGAAGGAGGAGCTGCGGCCATCAATGGTACACCTATAACGGATGCAAAGGAAGGTCATCTAGAAGAGGTGGGAACTTCGGTGGGTGCAAAACAACAAGAACTAGTGCAGAAGGCATGACAAACTCTAGTCCTGACTCAGACATTGCAAAATAACTAAAGGAAGGAACAGACTCAAAGAAAACAACAAAGATAAAATAACACTTAAGAATCATAGAGTAACACTTATAACCTTTTTGAGAACAACTATAATCAAGAAAAAATACATTTGTGAGCATAAGCAGAAAGCTTGTCATTACCTGAACTAAGATTATGGAAAAAGCATGTGGACACAAACACACGGAGAGGTAAAAGATGCAAAGACTATTTAGGAAACAAGATAGAGTTGTAATGGATAACAGAAGAAGGCAACCGATTGATAAGATAACATGTTGTCAATATGACATCTTCCCAACAATGATGTGGGATACGACTATGTAAAAGTAGACTGCAAGTAGTTTCAATTAGTTGTCTATTTTTTCTTTCAGCAACCTCATTTTATTGAGTATAAACACAAGAAGTTTTATGATATTCATAAATTGGAAATTATTTCACCAAGATTAACTAAACCATAACTTTACCATACACAAGCACTAGTGATACTGAGAATAAATTGAAGAAAAAGAGTGTGTAACAAGGTTCAAATGAGCACCATTGATGCGGACAACCAGTCTGCGAGGACAAGTTAAATCATCCCAGACATAGTCAACACTGCATGCAGGTCCAAGAACCTCTGGCTCTAAAAAACCCTGGAAATTTCTCAAATGATGTGATGGGAAGGGAAAATTAGCCCAATGATTAAGTGAAAATACAAAACAGATGGAATTGTTATACAACCTTTTGATAGTAAGTTATTGATAGTCTATGCAAACAATTCTCAATTCGATAAGGCAGACTCCTATTTGGTGGCTTGTAGAACCTTGAAACAAGAGAAGAACCTTCTTCTACCACATGCACTGCTGCAAATTGTGTCATTTTGTTGTCTGATATCGTAACTTCATCAGTCTGTTTTCTGAATTTCAGGAAAAAGTGTCCTAATGAGGCTATACAGACTGGTCCAGACCATCCCAATCCAGGCTCATTTGTTTTAATCTGAATATATAACAAGGAATTGTCACTGGAGCTTCTGTGCTTTCTGATAAAATGCTCAAATACACTGAACTCGCTTGTCTTTCTAAATCCTTCCTTCAGCTGTAGTGGCATTCGCTGTTTGCTGTTAATGGAGATAACACCTGCCACCTCATCCTTCACAGACAGTTAAATTACTTACTGAAGGAAGATACTTACACATTTAAACCAGTATGTACTTAATACATACCTGAAAATAGCATTGGCGAACAGTAATGCATTCTTCAGATTCATTGCAAATAACATATCTTGGAACCAAAGTAACCATTTGTGATGGCACGACAATTTCTCCTGAAGAAGGACCGATAGAAACTCCAAGCTTTGTTACAGATTTAATCCCAGATCCCTCTGCTTTCTCAAAGCTTATTTCTGTGAGGCCTGATAAAGAACCCAATTCTAGCAGTGCATCAGATGTATGGTCCTCTAGCAATTTCAGTTGCACTCTTTCAGGTCTGGAAACACATAGTAAGATAAGACACGGGAAAAGTAAAGAACACAAAAACTCGAACAAATCTAGGTTACATTTTTGACATATTAAACCAATAAGTCACAGACAATAACTCATCTTACTTCAAGAACCATGAACTAGTTGATTTTGGAGGCAAACATACGCCTAGCTCCGAAGGAATGCTCAAATTTAAATTCTCTAATTCAATTCTGCATATGGAGAGCCAAACAATATGTTAAGAATGGATAAAGATGTGATTACTGTTTCTATTAACTGTCGAAAGTTTGGGAATCACCTGGATAGGGGCCACCTTTTAGTTGCAAGAACATAAATTGGAAAATCTGTATCATTCTTCATGGAATAGGATGTAAAAACAACAACCTGCAGGCAGCTCCACAGATTCAAAAGATACTAGAGTAACTGAACCAATGCATGATATAGAATTTCACACCTAGATATCAATTGCACTCAATGAAAAGAAAGGCTAGCTTAATAACCTCCAGCATTCCCCTGTTTCCACGGTACAATCTCAAGGTTGCAAAAAATTTTCCACCATCGAAGTCCAAATTTATATCCAGATATTGGACATCATTGTCCTGCTTCAGCAACTTCTTCACACAGTCCCCACTATTTACCACCCTGGAAGTTGAATTGGAAGAAGTTAGAGTAACCGTGAAGTATATAACTGCTGGATTGGCATAAAAATCAACCGTTGAACCACATGATATGATCGCCTGCTTCCCAATTTTGTCATATCCAACCAGATTTGACTGACCTTCATCATAATTAACATTTGAAGTTAATTCACAGTTAAAAGAAATACGTCATTTATATTATTTACTATATGCATTTCTTTACCTGTTTCACTTAGAATTACATCTATCTCAGAATGCAATAAATTGGTCATCCGTACAGTAGGAAGAAGATATATCTCTTTCTGCTCTAGCAACGAAACTGTTGAATTCTCATTTTTAAACGCAGTAGCAGACTTTTCAGATGCAACAGGGATATCTCTAGCAACAGTCTGAATGAGAAAATGCATATTGGCAACACACACCCCCTCAAACTTGAGGGTGCAATGTGCTGTGCTAAAGGAACACCTCACTGATTTTACAGATAATGCCTTGCGAACTCTGTAGTTTAATTTATTAAATATTCCAGATAGATGGACAGCTTTTCCACCTTTAATATAATCCGACCATTCCAAAGAAACAGAACTTTCAGAATTAATCAATTCCTCAGTTACTTTGGGTCTAAATGAAAATAAGAAGTTACCTGAAAAGTAATCATGAAACTATATCAACTCAGGAGAAAGGTTAAATGGTATAACAGAGTCTAAGAAAAGATAATGATAGATCCTTCAGAAGAAAATATATTTATCCAGAACAAACTATATATGAAAAAAATTAAACCAAAAAAATGCCTTTACCATTTTGGCCCTTAAATGTATCTTTGTAATAAAATGCTTCACCACAGACTTTTGCATTTGATCAACCATAGTAAACTGTGTATTATATAAACTGCTATTTCTTAGATATATAATAAAGTCATTCTATGAGTCTTTACCAAGAAGCTTAAGCTTATAGGAGAGTTGGTCCTACCAAGAACCTTAAGCTTTTAGGAGACTTTATCCATAACTGTTGGATATCGAGCCAAGAATAGCAATTCCCATATCAGGCTGATTCTGGAATTAGAGGAGCAGATTTTTTTGGTTAATTGTACAGCTAGAATCAAGGGATTAATATCCCTGATTATGCATAGCAGTTTCTTATTTCTTTCCTTTCCTGTATATTAGATTCTTTGTAATCCTTGATTAGGATCCTAATTTGTTGTACCCAAAAAAGGCTATTTATGCCTTTTGTATCACATATTTTTGGCAAGCAGAATAAACACTATTACAGTAACATTTACCAGAGAGATAATCAATCATCCACCGTCACTATGCTTGTGCAACTTCTGTATTGAGTTTTGATAGGAACTAATTATATTTGGGGACTTGATTGTACAAAGCAAAACTTTCAAGGATCAAATCTTATATTCACTCTTATTACTATAAATAAGAGTATCAGATTAGAAAATTGTACCACACTCTCATACCAATAATAGTACCAGTGTTATCCGCCATTCCTCTTTTCCACCACTAATCCTAAATTTATAATTCCAATTGATACCAAAGCTGATGGTTGGAGGATCGTTGTGGGATTCTTTGCGCTGAAAATTCTCATAAATACCCATTGGTTAGTTCCATAGACAGTCAGTTTAGTCAAGTTTGTTGATTGAAAAAATAAGACATGCCTGCCTATAAATAACAGAGAAAGTTAAGCAAGTGATATATTTTCATTTGAGAGAATTGGACATTTGGGCATTGGGAGGTGCAGACCCTTGAAATTCAGATGTGTGTCTATTCTGTAAATTGGGGAATAAAGATACCAGATTTTTATCAAATTCTTCACTCTTTCCAACATTTATTAATATCTGAATGGCCAAATTGAGAGAGAATACAGCATTATTACCAAGGAAAGAAGAGCCACCAATACAAACAACAGCCATTACACTATCATATTCATAATTCATATAGTAAAAAACAATGCATCAGAATAGCGAACAAATAGAAAAAGAATTGAAAAATAATACTATAATTTGTAAGTGTGAATGTATAGAATATCAGAAAGGAGAGCAGTTGTGCAAAAATGAAAGGAATAACAGTAAATAAAGTACATGTAGATGAGAGAATATACCAACACTTAAAGAAACTAAAGCCCTCTTTTCTCCCCCAGAAAAATTTACTGCATCAAACATAGCCATAGAATCATCAATAGAATCCCCTGATCTTAAAAACACAGATGCAAACTCATCTTCCTTTGGCTCAAGTAGCTGGAATTGGAGTTCCATTAAAAATCCAGTTTCGTTATGTATTCTAATCAAAGGTGAAACCACAACTGACAGACCAACCTAATAAAACAATAGCATCATTAAAGCTTATAGATGTAGATGAGACAATCTATCTCTATCACTTGGACTATAACAACAGACACATACACAGACAGGCACACAATTATTTTTACTTATATTAATTTTTTGCATACAGCATGAAATGTATTGTATTATATATAAACCTTATAATTTCATTTTAAAAAATATATATTTGTACTAATTTTATTGAATTAGTAAATTTAATATGAAAATATAATATATACACTATTTAAATAGTGTATATATTATATCATTTATTATAATATTTTAATTTTCATGCTATTTATTTAATTCTATATATTCCTTTTGAAAATTTATGTTAGCCCATTTTCTTATAAATGGAAGAAATTATCTGCATACAGACAATGAATGACATTTGCAGATACCTCTGAATTTCTAGAAATGTTAACTACAAACATTGGCCCGGGGAAAGTTCTTGAACCTGTTCATTGAATAAAGAAAACAATGAGGACAGCCTCCACAAATGTTGCATGATCTCAAATATGCGCACCAATAAATAAGCCACAATTCAACCATGGTTAGGAAATTACATTGTAATGGATGAATATAAAAGTATACCGTTTACCAATAATTCTCCATCATCAGATAATTGCATTTATATTGCATGTCACACACGATTGAAGAAAATACTGTAAGAAAATTAATATTGTTTTTTATGCCTCAAAAATTTGTGATTTTCCTATTTAATATCTCATTTTTTATTTTTTCCAAGTGAGTCTTTCATAATACATTTTTACCAAATAGTCACCTTATAATATTTATTTCCCATTAGATCCCTCTAAATATTATAAGTTTTTTTATTCCTTGGAATATCACAACTTTCTCATTTTGTCCAAATAAATATAATGAATTCTCCATTTTGTCCCCCTAAAATGAGGGGCTAAATGAAAAACTCATCATATTTAAATGAATCAAATGAGAAAAATAAAAGAAAGGGACTATTTTGTAATAAAAAAATTGAGAGACTAATTTGAAAAAATATAAGGGGTCAAATGAGAAAATCACAAATATTTTAGGAACTAAAAACTTATTTAAGCAATTAATATTTCACTGAAGGCAATGCACTGCATAAGAAATGTGATTCATATACATAGGTGGTTAGAAACCACAATGCAACGAAGAAAAAGAAAACGATTTGTTATTTATTTTCACAGGTAGCCCTAGTAACAAAAAGTGCCTCTGAATAATTCTACCGTAGACCATTTTAGGTAATCTAAGTTTAACAATGATGCATGGGAAAGAAAGTAGTTAAGAAAGACCTTCTCTAGACATAATTTGGGTTCTCCAAGCAAGAGTGTGTGTTTGTGAAAGTTGGAGATGAATAGAAGAAGTTGCAAAAGAACCAAAATCAGTAACTTGAATGGAAATGGTAGTTGCAGCTTCTGAATCTTGATTTTTGAAATCAGAGATCCTCCTGTCAGATAAAAATCACAAATTCACAACAATAAAAAATACAGGTATTCAACAACAAACATTAAAATTTTTATCTTCAATCACAAACATGCATAAGCAATAACTTAATCACACGGCACAAATCATATGCTCAGGAAAGGAGAGGAGGACAAAACAGAAAGGAAGGATGGGATCATTCGAAAATATAATCATTACATCAGATAAGCACATATGAACACAATTTTATTAAGGCCTACCATCCAATAAAATATCAACCTCAATGAAGAAAAAATAAAGATCTTGGATCAAGATCAAATTGTCAAATTTTCAATCAAATGATAGTGAAATATTACTGACTATAAAATTGAATCAGGAATATGTATGCTATGCAAAAAAATAGCAATTAGATTGTCTGGGAATAAAACTTATTTTCTTTGTCAGAAAGCCTACACTCTCCAGCACAAGAACAAGGACTGTTTGATATTTGTAATATGCCATATACATGGCAATAAACAACTATTGCATACCTCAATAAAATGGAAGCCGACTGTTTTCTGAGTATTGTTACACTTTGCTGATCAAAGTGAACAAGAAGATTCAAACTTGACTGGTTCTCCACCTGCCATCTAGCAATTATTGTTAGTTGATCATAATGATACCAATGGCACCATTAATTCGGTAGAGCTTAAAACATTAGCATATTCAACTGAAGGTAAACAAGATATAGACAAAGAGAAGCTCAAACAAAGAATTATGAGCTAAAGCAAAAAAGGAAAATGAGAGAAGGAATGTCAATTAGGTCCTCTGTTTCTTTCTACTGGTAAAAAACACATTGATGCATTATGTCTAGAACCTTGCAGCAGTTAGCCAGAATCATGGAGCTCTGCAGTGAATAAGGACCAGACAGGTTCAATTTGCCAATCACAAAGAGAAGCACGTCCAATGAATTCTCACATAGGGATATGTTCAGCTGTCCAGACGATAAATAAATTTTAGAAAATAATGATACAATGTCTAAATGAACGTAAAGAACTAAAAAATCGGATATAACTCTAACAACCTCTTGAATTCTGCAGAAGAAATTAACAGGCACAGCATGAGATGTACATTCTGAAAGCTGGGCTTGAATATTAGATCGGTAAAAAAGGCAAATTTCAACAGGATGGAGAAATTCTCCCCTAAAATTAAAAAAAAAAAAAAAACAATAGTAATATCATGAATGCAGTTAAATTGAAACGTGTAAAAAGGTGTAAAATTCAAATGGGATTTAGACTAACCATAAGTTTCTTTGAGCATCAAAATAATGTACTACCGCACTTGATGTGCTTATGACCCTGGACTTTGTTGCTAAACGTTGTATAATAAGTTGCATATTGTTTATGAACAAGGAAATCAGAGGGAAGTGTTCTTCTGTATCTGAAAGTTCATGAACAATATTTACAGAAATTTTCTCAATTTTAATATCAATATGAGGAAGTTTTCCACCCTGCCATGAAGTACTTTCTTCATAGGTGTGCAGACTAGTTTCTGGAGCCATTCTAGGGTAGCTAGCTGTCTCTGGTACACCATAAGCAGCAATAATATCATTGAAAATTTTGAACTTGATTGGATTTCCAGGCTTACTGACAAACTCTAGAGCACCATCAACGAAAGCAATAGCAGAGTCATTCTTTTTGTTTACAAGGTAGAAAGTTCTCTTTATTGATTGATTGCTGGCCTCTGAGTCAATAACTCCTACATCACCCTGAGGAGAATAGACTTTCCAAAGTGCACATCCTCCATCATTAGTATAAGAGATGTCAACAAAACATGATCCTGGTCGACAATTTAATCTCAACGGCACACCCATATCATTCTTAGCAAACAATGATATAAAGGAAAACCAAAAAACTGTAGACTTCCACCTCCTTTGGGTACAGTGTTTGACCTGCAGAAAAGCTTTCATTGTTACATTTGCTACATACATATTATGATAACAGAAAAACTAAGAACAACCAATATTTCTGATGTGTGTATAACATGCACACAATTTTTGCTTGGCTTGAAATATAAATTGCATGTAATCGTGAATATTTGGCTAATTTTATCCCGCATTGTGTTTGCTCTAGTATAAGTTACTGCATTTGCATGGTTTAATAGTAGGTAACTGGATTTGGGAAGTGGAACTTCAAAGAATTGAAGGTCCAGACGTAGAAACAAAAGCTTGGAAGCATTTTAGAGCCAAGTAAGTGATGATTGGTCCATAGTTATCAATAGCAGGCAATAGCAGCACAATTGCGGTGCAGCCATGGGCTTTGAATAGTGGTGCATTTTCAAATAGCAGCTGTGGCAGCTACAATAGCAGTCATAGCAGCAGCACTAAACTTCTCAAAGAAACTCATTTTTGCCCTCAAAAAAATATTGTTATGGAGGAATTTTATAGAGGTGATATTGATATTTCCCCCACTTCCCTTTTTAGAATTTAAAAATTCCTAAGTGGACATAGTTTCCCCCACTTCTATTATATCTACCATGCAATACCCACACTCCAACCAGCAACATCATTTTGTTGGTTTCCTTGACTTCTATTATTTACTTGTATGTTTTGCTTGAGACCTATGGCTTTCTATTTTTAATTATGAATATGTCATGGATTTTGAGTATTTTAAAATTTCTGGGCATTTGTATTTATAGCATAAATTAATTAATCTGTCAATAAAATTTCTAAATAGCAATCATCTCACTATGCACTCTCTTGCCATAGCATTTTTGGAGCTGGCCACCACTACACAACACCATCCAATAATGATAACTATGGATTGATCAAATCAGCAAGAAACACTGTCTGCTAGTCTTAAGGAACATGGTTGTATTCCATTCTGACAAGAATTTTGGAGAACAGCAAAGCAGAAAGAAACACAACCTGGTTGTGTTCTTAAAGAATGGTCATGTTGAGTTTTGTCATTCAGAATTTTGCAAAATTGCATGGCAGAGAGAAATACAGCCTGAGGAGACAATATCTTTTAACTACTTGACAAAGCAATGCCCGTGCACCAACATCAATTTCCAATCAAAGAGAATTGAGATGACGTATAATTTTAGCTCAAAAACAAAGCAGTGAAATACAGAAGATAACTAAACTGTAATTCACAAGCAAAAGCCTAAGCATCCCACCGTTGAAGTTTGTTACAGAATCCTCTCAATTGAACTTAGATGGTTTCATAGAACAAAAACTTCAAACCATATCCACATCCAGAATTCATGCATAAAAATCACACCCAGTGCAACAACTAGAAAGCATTACTAATTTGATAAGTAAGAAATGAAGATATTTTAAATTAAAGTCCTATTGAACTATGAGGGGTTTGACTCCACTAGAGTGAGAAAGTAAGGGTGTACCCACTCTGGATTTGAAGTGTGTTAAGTTTCCAAGATATTTCAATTCAAATCAAGGGTGGATACACCCTTTCTCACTTTATACATTCTCATTTTAGAAGAGTTAAATCTGAACTATAAACCCCAGTGCACTGTTAAGAACCTAAAATTATTTTAAAAAAAAAAAAAACAGATAATCAAGAGTTTGACAACATCAACAATTTTCTATTGAAAGCAGAGAGAGATCTGCAACATTAGCAGCAATTGACAGATAGAGCCAATGGTTGAACATGGATTAAAATACATACATGTATTTTAAAAAGGAAGATATGCTGGATGTATTTCATACCCTGAAAAGAGCCCTCTCTCCCACAAGAGAATAATGAATGACACCACCTATACTGAAAATCTTCTCCTCGCCTTCAACTGTGAGATACATGTGCTGGTTGACATCTTGAATAGAAACAATTGCCCCTACACAGGACCGTCGTTAATTACAACTTAAATTTTGCAAAAGATTACAAACTGATAACATATAGCTTGAGTCTGAGTACCATCAGGAATCACTGCTTCCAAACTATCATCAACTTCATGGCTAGTAGAACAATGATTTTGCTCCAATTCTTTTATTGTATCCTGACTTGATATCCCAGAGAGTGAGGAGGACATTGACAAAACCATCTGCTATGTTGGCATGACTAAACATTAGTAGAACTTAGAACTAATGCAACATAACTTTAGTAGAACTGTATGCAGGAAAAGAAAAATCAGTAACATAAACTGCCAAATTTGATTGGAAAAAAAAAATAATGATAATAAATTACATCTTCAGGGACAAGTACAACTATTGACTAAACAATATAATAAATTATCATACTATAGTATTACAGAAGTTCACCTGAATTTCAGAAACAGAAAGTGTCATATCGAAACCTGAAAGAGAACCAATGCCAAACCAATACCGAGCCAAATGCAAACTACCTCTATGTGGTCTCTCCAGTGACAAAAAAGCTCTTAAATGTTTCAAAATTTGGTTCTGACGACTTAACTGAACAGTAACAGGACCAGTGTCTTGTGAACTGTTTGCTTTACTAACTGAGATCAATTCACCAAAATTCTGAAATCCTGAAAGAGGATCTGCTGATGCAATCTGAGATGACAAATCTTTTGAAGTGACAGAAGAAAAATGAGGAATTGCTGTTTCATCTTCAACTCTCACATGAATAATTTGAGATAGGATTGATAAACGGGAAAGGTCAACTGATAACTTCCTCCCAGCAGTTAACAATTCCAAATTCAGATGAATGTCAACCTCGAGTACAAGTTCTCGGATACCACCTGCATTAGTGAACTGTATATTTGAAAAACAAATTCCAAGGATTACTAAAAACATAGAGAAGAATTTCTTACCTGATTCATTTTCAAGAGCTAAAACCAAAGAAAAGTGAGACAAAGATAAGTCACATGCATCCAGCAATCTCCTTGCAGCTTGTAGAAATGTGCTAACAGTCTCTTGATCAATTTCATCATCAAGAGAATAGTTCTCTTTGCCATGCTCTTCCTTCTTCATGCCTTTATTAGGTTGCTGCTCATCAGAAGTGAGATTGCCAATAAAATGAAGATATGAAGAATAGTTATCAATGGCCATTGGCAAAGATGATGTTTCAAGAAAAATGAGTCCACCCTGCTCAATAACATTTACAATTTAGTAGGAGATGTAAAGTTTAAATCTGTTAGAAAACAGCTTCATCTGTAAAATAGATAAACTTATTGAGATTCAATTTGTAATAGAAGACTTAAAAAAGATGCAAGAACATGCCCGAGAGATTATTATGCCCTTTCTAGCTCCTTAAATTATTACCTGGATCTCCCAGGATATTGTGTGAAACTCTCCACCAATTGAAAGCAAAGACAGAAGCTTATTCAATTTATGCGCTTGAACCAGATCACTCTTCAGTGAGCATTTCCCTATGTAGATACTAGTTACTGCAACATTTATTAGTAACTGGTGACTTGCTGAAGCTGGCATGCTAATATTTGCAGGAGACCACATTTTTGTAACTGAGTGAGAAGATTGATTACTTAACCTTTCAAATACTGTCAAATTGGTTTCTTGTACCAAGTAAGATGTATTATCATCAGTTTTAGGACTACTTAATGTTTTGCTTTCATTTCTTGAAGATGAGGTATTTTGAACAAGACCCAAGCATAAAGTAAACGTGCAACCAGAAAGAGATATTTCATGTAAACAATTCACAGATCGCAATAGTAAATTTTCAAGTACAATGTGATCAATGTTGCTTCCAACTGAGTTCTTGTATTCAAAAACAAAAGACGTCATTCCTGGTAAATCAGTGAGTAGATCCATTTTCCCTTCCTCACAAGATATTACAATAGCTGTCTGCTGAATAGAAATCCAAATTCCACAGCCAGGCAACTGTTGCACAGCCATTTTGTTGCCAGTTAAGGAGTGAAACATTCTGTCACAACTCTCCAAATTATCACTTGTCCTGGAATTATGAAGAACAATTTCCATAGACTTGAATCTGCTGGTCACGTCAATAAAAAAAGGGCAGACATTCCTTGTCAGTAAAGCTCCTTGTGTAGTTTCCTCAGAGATATCAGGTTCTGCAAACAATGCTTCTTGCTTCATAATTTCACAATGTTTGAAATCAGCATTGCCAAAGGTATTAAACAGATAAGATACCACAGAAGACAAATTTGCAACTGCCTGTCAGAAGGGAAAAAGATCTGTTAATCACAACTCTATACATACATAAATTAGCATTGAACTGAATTTATTAAATATCCCATTGCACAAAAAGCAAAATTAAAATATAGTTTTTAAAAAATCACTAGTGTTGTAACAGTCTCACACTAGCTGTATCATTATTATGGTGATGTAGGGCTGATTGTTAGTTACCATATTTTAGTCTAGTTAAAGGAAAGAAATCATATTGCTTAGCATATATAATGTAATGCCTAGTACCATTTTAATATCAAGAAATAATATTAAGAAATTCTCATCATTCAAGTTTCTATCATTGCTCTCTATCTAGGAGTACTATCCACTGTTCTCATCCTTCATGGCTGACCAATTTTGGGTATCCATCCTCCATAGTAGGTCCCTTAGCGCCTAACCATCATTGCAGGCAACTTACTGAGGGTTCAAAACGGGTATCACTTTCAATTTCACATTCATCCTGTTCACATCCAGCCTTAATTGAACAACCAGTGTATTGCATCTCTCCAGCAACCAGAGGGAAACTTCTGCCCACACCCTCTCCTAGATAACATATGAGCACAACGATCAACCTTTCCTGTCCACCATCCAACCTCTCATTGGTCCCATTCTATTCACCAGTGTCTCGTGTATTTGTTTCCATGGCTCCTAGGCCATACCACAGTTGTACCAACAAGCTCTAAGTCTGACTCTCTCTTCCTTTGTTCAACTTCAACCATGTCCAACTCAGACACCACCCGTCACCCCATTACAGCCCAATCAAACCTCCTCATTACAGATTCACTCTCAATGATCTACCAACTCTATGTCCACTTATAGCCTTACCAGCAAGATCTATCTACAATGGGCTCAAGTAATTGGTACCACCTTCAAAGGTTGGCATAACTTGAACCATATTAAAGGAAATGCCCCTGATAAGACAGACCCAAAGTTTGATGACTGGTGTTGAGATCAAGCAAGATATTTGTTCAGATTTAGTTTGATTGATTCCTATTATTACTTGGTTATAACATACTGTAATCTTGTATTCCTTCCCAAAATTAAGAGATTTTCATGTACATATTAATTCCATAAATCAAAGAAGATGAGAGGCATCTCTCAAGCAATTTCCTACATATTTTGAGTAGTCTCAAGTTGGTATTAGAACGATTCAAAGGGCCTGATTAAAAAGTTCATAAACCCAAGAAGTTCTGTCATCCAGCAACCATCAAGGCTGGTTAACCAGCCCTAGGTGTTCCAACAACCCTCCCAGTCATCTCAGCACTGTCCAATTGGCCAACATACAACACACTACTGCTGTCCACCTGTTCATGGGCAATCCCATGTGTTGCTGCCAGAGAAGATTTTTAATATGGGTCCATTAGTGAATCAAAGGAGTGCGCCTAAGGTGTGGCTTATGTATGCTAAAAGGTGAAGGGGAAAAGGGTGTGAGTGATTCTATAAGGTAGACAAAGAAAGAGTTAGTTACACACGAAAATAATTAGTAGAGGCATTTTGTTGTGTAGAGTGAGAGGCTCTCAGTTTTGGGAATTGAGAGAGTGGTTTTTCCATTATTCCTCATATATCTATATTCATGTATCATACCTACATTCTCCATTAATACCATATATACTTTCCCTATTTCAATTATAAGTTTCCAGCGCTTTATATCCATTTCTGCCATTTTCTTCTGCACTTAACACCTTTTCAATGCATGTAATTGTAAGCCATGCACCACTGTCAAGGTCACCTTTTAAATTTATAACCCAATCTCTAACTTGGAAAATTAATTTACACCTCCTTTTTAATTGATTCACCTCTACCTTAGAAGGAAATGTAGTATCCTTGAAATGCAAGGGTGGATCTCTCCCATATAACGCCAAGCGCACCATCATCCTCGTGGAGCTATTGTAGTTAGTGTCAAATCAAAATTCAACCCAACCTAACCATTGTGGCCACTTGAAAAACAACAAAGATAAGTCTCTAAACACCTGTTAACTACTTTTATTTGTCCAATTGTTTGAGGTATCTATAGGTTGTGCTGTACTTAAGGCTACTACCTGATTGCTTGAGCAACTTAAACCAGAATTGGCTGAGAAATATTTGATCTTTGTCAGACAATAAATGGAGGGAATCCATGGAGTTTGAGCACTTCTGAGATAAATAAAACATTAGGCCACCTCCTTAGCTGTAAATAATGGCACGAGGGCAGAAAATGCACATAATGAAATACATAGAAACATCACTCCACAGTTGAGCAGGTACACGTAAAGGTAAAGGCTGTATGAGTCCAGCTAGGGCTGAGGTATTGTAATTATAATTGACAAATACCACAATCCCCTATGTATATCTCTGAACATTCATCTTCACACCTTCCCAAAAGACAAACTCTAACAGCAATGCTAACAGAAGTTTAAAATTCTGAATAGGCCTAAATGTCCCCCAACTGTAGACTCATGGAATTCATAAAGTAGCTTGCTTCAGAATTCTAGAGGGGGCTCTGGGCATGATTAATTTTTCATTAGAGTAACCGACCTTTCTTCAGTGCATACCCAGGTGAGATAGCGAACCAGATTAGGTCCTGTACTATTTTCTGCAACCTAGTCAGCTTGAATCTCATTTTTCAATTGTTCTCTTTCATTGCATAAAACGTGGGAAATTGTAATTCCAGGATAAGGCATCTAGAACCTTGATAAGGACTCAGATGCATGCAGTGCCCTTAGCTCATCCTTGAGCACATTCAAATAAATCCCTTTAAGATACTTTGGCTTTGTTATGCAAAAAGGCCTTGTGTACAATTCAAATTGTTCTCAATATTCTTGCACCGTTCCTCCTTGTTTCAAGCCCAAGGGTATCTTGTAGGGATTCTGAATCATAGACAGTTGAAAATACCAAATCACCACGTTACAAAACTTCACCTACATCGGATTAAGAGCATCAAACTCACTGCTAGAACCATGATAAAGCTTGACCATCTATGGCTATCATGATGGCCGACAGCCATTCCTCCTGTGCTACCTCCAACACCAAAATTATTTCTCAATCCTATTGACCTAACCATAAGTGTCCTCCCCCGAAAAAAAGGGTAGATCAATCTTCCTCAGCTTTTCATCATTACCATCCCCAAAATTCTCCTCCTTGTCGTGGCCTATTCCAGACTCAGCGTGTCAATAGTCCAGGAATGAATGCAGGCCTTAGGCACAAAGAATAGGCAATGACAGCTAAGCAACAGGAGCAGAGACCCACCACAGACCACAAACCTCCAACAGGTGACACCAACTAGAAAGAAGGATGTCAAATCATTTTTCAGTCAGTACTGTGCAAAGGGGATTGACAGTATGTAGACTTACGCTCATAATTATTTGCCTAGAATAGAGCCATATTAAAGGCAATAAAACTGTCCTAATAGAAGAAAATAGAGTAACAAAACTGTAGAATACATAGACAGCACAAAGGTCCTTTCATCCAAAACCTAAGTCAAATGTTTCATGCGTAGAATCCGTAAATCTAGTTAATAACATCACATTTATTTTTACATTAACCCAAGAAAACCCTGAACCTAAACAATAGATCCCAACCTCTCTTCTGTCCTAAGTCAAATAATAGGGTAATCTTAAAAGAAATTGAAATAAAATATTTTGACATCAGCACTAACTGCTGCTTTTCTGAAGGGTTCAATACGGATTACTTATGACTAGATAAATAAGAAGCAGTGGTGTATACATTACATTAGAGATGTCTAATTCCTCTTTGACAATGAATTTATTCATGTATGCTACATGACAAAACAATAGATATCATTTGACTTAAATTGGGAGGAAAAAATCACCTTATAGATCATATACACCTCATCCAAAAATGACAAAACAGTGAATCCTTCAGTAGTTATGTCAGAAGCGGCTGAAAAGGTAGACATTGTAGTGCTCAAGGAATAAATGTAATCCCTGCCATATAAAATTAATCATAAAAATTCACAATCACAGCAAGCATAAGCTTATGAAATAACACATTTATAAAATATGGACAGGAAACAAATGAGAGCCCCATTTTTTCTTTCTTACAATAACGGTAGCAAAGCAACTAGTCACGACACTTTTCACACTATTCCTGTACTTCACCTTGAGGAAAAGGTGAAATATTTGATGGGGAGTATTTTTAGCAGCTCTCCAATAAGGAGAGTCTGTTAGGAAGAATAAGAGTGAGTACAGGGAAGTAGAGCCATAATTTGTCATTCTGCCATTAATAGAAATAACAGATAACAGTAGCAACAGTTAGCTAGTTAATTAGTTAGTTACAGTGCAGCTAGAAATGGTTATAAGGCAGTCACAGATAGATCGGGGGAGGGGAGTATCAATTGTTTTGGAGAGAGAAGAGGAGAGGAGAACCTGGTTCTCTCAAATACCCAAAGTGAAAGTGTGTGTATTCTAGGTTCTATGTTGTCCTTGATCTCTGTTCAGCATTGCCTTGATATTGATTTAGAGAATGGGAGTTCTATCAACAGATTCCATCCTTTTACTTCTATTCTAGTACATATCTATAACACACACTAGCGGAAATAGGACCAATGAATCTTCAACACACTATCTGCATTAATCTTATTAATTGTCACCATCCAAACAAAACATTTGACCTTAGGAGGGTGTTTGGTAAGAAGACACTTTCAAGTTTCCCAAGAATCTTAAGTTAGATATATTAAATTCCTATGTTTAGTATGAATATTTTGAAAAGATTTACCAAGAAATTAACATTCCTAGAAAAAAATTTAACTATATTTCCCAACAAAAGATTCCCATGGGAGGGGTGATATCTAAATACCCCATGAAGGTAGAAAAGTTTTATTGATAATAAAAATATTCTCAAGAATCCTTTAGGCATACCAAACACTTTTCTAACATTCTTAGTAGTCATTATTTCCATAAAACATGATTCCTAGGAAACATAATTCCTAGGGGGAAATGACAAGGGAGAAAAATAAGACAACCTCCTAAAAGATGAAGTAAAATAAAATGTAAGCCCAGTAGATTCTTTAGACGGGTAACAAAGCTGTCCAATGTTTTAGCATATCAGAAACTCCCTTAAAAGAACACCAAAGAGAGGCCATAAACACTAACTATCCCAAACCAATGTAACAACAAACAAACGCCCTTAAAAAATGTGCATAAGCATTACTAAAGAAAAGTCTAGATGGCTTACAATCACAAATTCAAGCCTTGTCATTTTTTTCTGAAATACTTAAAACCCATCAATAGAAACCAGGTCAGAAGGACACAACCAATATTCACCAAGAACTACATACAGATTACTCCAAAACAAATGACCTATTTTTTTCTTACACCTTATATGTCAGACACATACTAGACGAAACAGCTGTGCAATGTCATTGAATCTGTAACATACCATTGCCAGTGATCTTAAAAATCACCACTATCCAAACAAAAGATTTGACTTCAAGAGTTTTAAATTTTCAAATTGACTCTTTGATTTTAAAATCCGCAACTTATTATTTATTTGATTAAATAAATTTTAGGCCCCTATAATTAAATAGATTTAACTCCGCCTAGGGCCCCATAGCCAATCCCAAGTCCAAGTAAATGAGGAGAGTTGTGGAGGCCTTCGACAGTCAACGTAAAACTTGTCGAAACCTTTTATATGGATTACACACGACGATATTATGCTACGGCTAGATCGTTACCCAGAAATAATGCGTTGTATGGCTTGAATACAATGTCAAATGAACTAGAGCCACTACATCAGCGCCCAAATATAATGGTAGATGAGCAAGGATCCTCATATTTGGCTGAACGAATGTGGGTAAAGAAGTTAGTCCAAGAACACGTGTTTCAATTTGGTTCATGGTATATTAGGACATTAATAGGAAAGTCATTGGAAGTAGTAGACACTATGATTCGTAGAAAGATTAACATCATATGTGTTTAAGCTCCAAATGGGTTGAAAATAAGGCAAGAGCTCGATTATTATAAGTTTCAATAGAAAAGTCAAGGGAAAGAACAGAATAGGCATAGTTGTGGATAATAATTAAAAAAAAGAACATGGTAGAGATTAAAAGAATTGGAGATAGGATCATGTCCAAAAAGTTATTGGTTGCACAAACACTATTAATTTTATCAATATCTATGCTCCACAAGTTGGCTCGAAAGCCCTTTTGAAAGCAAAGTTTTGGGAGGATTTAGAAGGGTTAGTCCAAGATATTTCACAAACTGAAAAGATTTTCATAAGTAGACTTTTATGGACATGTTGGTTGTGAAACAAGACAATTTACAAGGGTTCGTGGTGGTTTTGGTTTTAAAAAGTTAAATGAGGAAGAACAATCTATCATTGGTTTCTTAATATCCTACAACTTTAAGATTATGAACACTTGTTTTAAGAAAAGGGAGGAACATTGTATCACTTTTAAGAGTTGAGTTTCAAGGTTGCAAATCAAGTTTTTCTTGGTGAAGAATCTAGACAAAGGAATTTGCAAGGATTGTAAAATGATTCAAAGAGAAAACCTTACTACACAACATAGGGTCTTGGTCCTTAATACTCGTTTTAAAATTGGTAAATAAAGAATTCAACAAGTTATTGTTCCAAGAATTAAGTGGTGGCTACTTAAAGGTGATAAATTGTTGGACTTTTAGAAGCAACTAGTAGAAGAAGACAGCTGGACGACACAAGATAGTGCTAACATCATTTGGGACAAAATGGCTACGAAGGTCAAGAAAGTTGCTAAGTAAATTTTAGGTGAATCTAAAGGTTTTAGACTAAAAGACAAGAAATCATGGTAGTGGAATGAAAGTGTGCAAGAAAATATTAGAGAAGAGGATGTGTTTTAAAACTTTGCATCATGCAACAATGTTTAAAATTGGAGAAGATATCAGAATGCAAAAAATGAGATAAGAAAAGCAGTAAGTGAAGCACGTTCCAAGGCTTTTAAAGGATTCTATAAAGATCTTGGCACAAAGTATGGTGAAAGAAAGATTTATAAGCTTGTCAAAGGTAGAAAGAAAATCTAGAGATTTATATCAAGTTAGATGTATTAAAGTTGAAGAAAGAAAAGTTTTGGTTTTAAATCAACACATCAAAGACAGATAGGAGAAATATTTCTATAAATTTTTTCAATAATAGACGTGGAGCAAATGGAAATATACAGGATTAGGAGTGCAAGTGAATGATCTAGATTTTTGGCACATTACATTAAAATTCGAGTTGAAGAAGTGAAAAAAACTCTTAAAAGAATGGACAATGGCAAAGTAGTTGGCCCTAATAATATCCTTATAAAAGTTTACAAAAATTTGAAAAAACAAGGACTTAAGCGGCTCACTTAACTCTCTAATAAGATTTTGAAATCCAAAATTTTGTCAAATAAATAAAGGAAGAGCACTTTGGTTCCTATATACAAAAATAAGGGTAATATCCAAAATTGTGCAAATTATAAAAGGATTAAACTTATGAGTCACACTATGAAATTATAGAAAAAGATTATTAAATATAAACTACGAGAAAAACTGAGATTGTAGAAAATCAATTTGGTTTTATGTCAGGAAGATTTACATCAGAAGCTATATATCTTTTAGAAAAGATGATAGAAAAGTACCGTAACAGACTTGCACATGGTTTTTATTGATTTGGAAAAAGTATATGATCAAGTACCAAAAGAAGTGTTATGGAAGGCTTTAGAAAAAAAAAGGAATTTGTGTAGCATATAGTCGGACTATACAAGACATGTATGAAGGGATAACTTTATATGTGAGAACTTCTGCAGATGTATCTAAAGATTTCCCAATAGACATAGATTTATATTAAGGCTTTGTTTTACCTTTGTTTAATCTAGTCTTGAATGTGCTTACAAGTGACATACAAAAATTTATTCTTGTGTTCATGCTTTTGCGGATGATATAGTGTTGGTTGAGAAAACGAAAGAAAATGTTAATGATAAACTTCAATTATTGAAGGAAACTTTAGAATCTAAAAGTTTTCGCTTCAATAGAAGTAAGATAAAATATGTCCTGTAAGTATAGCAAAAAAAAATGAGGAACATGCATTAGAAGTTAAAATTAGAGATGATATTATACTATGAGTTTTCATATTTATGTACTTGAGAGTGATTATACAGAATAATAGGGATTAATAAGATGGTAAAGGAAAAGCATGAAAAGAAAGTAGAAGTAGCAAAAATAAGAATGTTGATATGGATGAGTGGACACACGAAAAAGGACAGGTTACAAAATGATAATATACTCGAAAATATTGAAATAGTACCTATAGTGAAAAAAATGTCTAAAATAGTTTGGTCATATGCAAATAAGACCTTTGAAGGAACCAATAAAGAAAGTGGATTGCATGATTCTTAGTCCAATAAAAAAGAGTCGAAAAAAACCCAAAATAACCTTAAACAAAGTTAATAAAAGAAATCTTTTGATTAACTAGATTTCTGAAAATTTAGTTTTTGATCAAACTCAACAGCGTCATATGATCTATGTAACTAACTTCACCTAGTGGAATAAAGCTTGTCATTGTTGTTGTCCTTGGCCTCTATACTTTAAAAGTTTAGGGTCCTTATAATTTTATAAGTTTAGGTTTTAGTCCTTTTAGTTTATTTTTGTTTTAGTCTTTACCATTCTATTCTATTTAAGTTTTGGTCGTACTAGTATACTAGACATTGGTCCAAATGATTATACTTTGAAAGGCATGTGTTTTATCATATTGTTGGTAATGAAGCAAAAACCAAAATTTTTAAAACTAAAAGAACCAAAAGCTAAGGCCATGTTCAATGTGATTGTTAGTTTTAAGCTTAGAAAATATTTTTGTTTTGAATTTAGTTTCAAACTTTTGTTTTTTTCATTTTTTAAATTTTAAAACTAAATCTAAAATTTAAACCGCAAAAATTACTTATTACTTCTCAAACCAAACTTGTTTGGTGATGGAGTTATGATGATAGAGCAATCAAATTTTCATTATTACCAATTTCATTTATTTTTATCTCTAACTACAAGCTTTTAAACATTACTATCTCTGAGTTTCTTGAAAGAAATGAACAGAAGAGATTGAATAGAAAATAAAGAAGTTGGAAGCGAGTGAAAAGGAATAAAAATAGCGATGCGGACAAGGATGAATAGTCTAAAAAATAGAGTAAGTCAATATTTATAGAGAGAGAAAGAGAAAACATGAGCGACAGAGCAATGTCAGCTCATAGAAGATTTTTTAAAATCTTACTCTTTTAGTAAAATTTCCAATTCTTCATTTTAGTTTATTAAAGTTCTTAGTTAAATTTCTTAATATTTTAAATTCCTTAAAATTGAATATCCAAAAAAAGTATTTTAACACACCGAATTTTAAACTCTCACAAAAATTGAATTCCTCACTTTGAAGTCTCTATCCAAACAGGTATAGGGATCAAAACCAAAATTGATGAATATTATAAGGACTTAAAACGTATTTAAAATTTAGGTAATTTCTAAAGTAACTTGTACATCAAGAGGGCATTTTATGCCCTCTGACAAGTGAAATAATTATCACCGTTAATTTTATATTAATAGATAATGGGATTAGTAGTTTATTTGAAAAATACATAATATCCTTTATTCTTTAAGAAATTAGAAAAATCACAATTGTCAATTTAGAGAGGAAATACAATGTCCTCTCAAGTTTATGCACACCGTAACAAGCACCTAAAATTATTTCTTGTAATTCAATTTGTGATTTGAAGGACATCTTAATTATGCTATTTATTAGCCTTCTCTTTACACAAGAGAACTTTTGTCTATCAAAATAAAAATGTATTTATTCCTCAAAAATTACATTGACCACACAAAGCAGATCTCCCAAAGTAACTAAATGTTTCCTGTGACATACTTTGTGTAGAACATACAGCAATTGTAACTCTAATGAATCACAAAACCAAACCTACTTAAAAGGAATAAAGAGAGGAGAGACAAGGTCAAGCAATAAGGTTCACAGGCATCCTGCCGCCTCATTCATATCAAACAAGAACCAAAAAATACCAAGGACTAAAGTTCCCAAACATACAATATCATAGAAAAACACCAAAACATTCCCAAGTTATCTATAGTTACAGGAACAGCTAAAGCAAACAAAGAAAAAATAATCTATAGAAAATAAGTACAGCTAAGGTTGTCAAACTCTCAAATTAACTCTTAGATTCTAACAAGTTAATGATTTTAGGAGGACAAATAGCGTTAACTCATTACCAAACTCTTCTCTAAATAAACTCGAGTAGACTCGGTAAACTCATGCAAAGTTGCAACATTTATGAAGTCAGCGCAAACGCAACACTTTCCTAGGGCTCAAATCAAACTACACAAATTGATCAAACCCTCACCATTGTCTATTTTCTATAAACCAACTAATGCTTTATCATAGCATGAAGTTTTGTTGCTATCAAAATCAAACTTAGCATGATCAACTTGTCATTCTTCTTCTATTGCGACAATGCCTATGAACCTAGCATCCATTCTGAACCCAACATTGTAAGAACCAAATGTTGCCAACCCATCATTAAGAAGCATACACCTGTTTAAAATAGAGGGCTTTACCCAAAAAAAAAAAGAACTAAGCTGTGCACTTTGATGTGGAATACTTTCTAGCCAAATCAAAATGTCATTATATCCATCTAACGTACCATGTTGCAAAATCTAATGTAGCCATAGTTTGTGACATTTTAATAACGTTGTGAATGGGCCCTGTTCTGGAGCCAAATTAAATGATAACTCATCCTATGTACACGTATACAAGTCCATGTATATATGTTTCTATAATAACTTGTGATGGATTTTTACTATATATTTGAATATTAGGATAGTTGTTTACTTGTTTTAAATATCTTTATATTGGGTGAAGTGAACTCTTATTAGTTTACCAGTCAAGTATATCAAAACATCATGAATTTACATAAAATCTCAAGTTTGACAATCTTTAGTACGGTCTCATTCAAATTGCTTTTAGAAAAAAAGATAAAGAGACAAAAAGCACAATATAGGAGGATCTTCCTAAAATAAAGAAAACAAAGAAGTTCAAAATAAAATTTTAAAAATGAAGAAGAACTAGCCATTTACATTAGCATAAGTTCAATTGTAATGTACCTAAACACAAAATACAAATTCAAGATGACAGAAGTTGATATCAGATAGAGCTACCATGCAGGAGGCCAAAACCAGACCTAACCAAATTAAGACACCATTGGGACCAATATGCTAGTCACCTCACATGCCAACTTATCACAGTTGACAACATACATACGCACAAAAACAAAAAGCCTCGACATTATTTAAAACTTAAATGATAAATTAAAATGTCAAACAGAACAACTAAACTTAATTCAAACCACAACATGCCACGGAACAGTTAAACCAGGGACAAAAGAAATAAAATTCGTCAACATAAGAATGCTTGTGAGAAACTGTCATCAAAAAATGGAGGAAAATGGATAATGAAAACAAAATCTGTCACCAAGATTCTACCTGAAGGACAATATCTGGACAGCAACTGGCTTCAATATAAAAAGTTGACTCTGATGGTTTTCTTCTGACTTCTCTAAACAAGCATTTACGCCATTTAGATGACTGTAGTAACCAAGTGAAATCTTCCCTGAGGATGCATATTTATGATTATTGGGTTTTGGAATTTCAATCACCCGAGCTTCCAATTTAAAACACTCTGCCTTGGCATTGCCTAGCCCTAATTGACCTGTATATGGTGCCATAGCAAATGAAGAAGGTGAACCAACAACCACTTCAATCTCATGGAAATCAAAAGTGAGGTCAAAATTATCGTGACTGACATTATCACCAATGTCTTGACCACCAAGATTGGCTTCATTTCTGTGTGAAAATCTAAGAGAAAGACCATCAACACATAATCCAAAATGAATGTGTTTCTCTGGAAGCTTTTGAAGCAAGGCCGTAATCAATCCTTTGGAATAACAGTCATATTTGTTAACCCAAGCATTTTTTGTTTTCTCCACAAATTTTGAAGCTATGCACGCTTCCCTCCGGTTCTCCCAGTAAATAGCATGTTGTATCTGACTAAGAATTAGAGTCACTGATGATACTGAAGAATGAGTCAAAACTAAATTTAATTTCCCTAGCATTAAACTACATTCAAAAAACCCAAAATCTGGATTCTTTTGGCCTGGGTGTGTGGAAGATAGCTCTACCTTACAAAGAAAGCATGGATTTTCAGAATACTCAGTTTCATTTTCATTCAATTTTCTGCAAATTCCTTTCCAACTCATAGACAACTTTCCCATAAAGCTTTCAATGTGAGAATCACAAGGATCTTCAGCCTGGCCCGCATCAGTATCTGAAAGGAGAAACATTTTGGCAGGTTCAACCCACATAGCTGGTTCCATATGATCAATATCTTCTTTTCCATTTCCTTTAGCTGAACTAAGTGTATTTAGTGTACATGCTTCAGCTGACATTGTCAAAGGTGTATATTCAACCCTCATTTGCCCGCATGATAGAAAGACTCTCTGTTCAAAAATATCTTTTACAGATACTAATAACAAAGTGTCAACTCTAAAACGTACCAAATGGAAATCTGAGCATGCAATTCCAGCAAGTGACTGTAACTTTTCATACACAGATGGATGAATTTCACTGATTTGGGAAACTGTCATTATGATTTTCCCAAAGCTCAGCACAAAACAACAACAATGACAAGGATCATCAATAAGACTTGCCAAACAACATCCATGAATATCTGGATCTTGCACTATTTTTTCACCAAAAAAGATGTTCGCTAGACTATGGAAAATTGTAGAGATCACTTTCCACATAAATGTCAGTATAAAATGAAAAGTGCGAAAGAATTTATTGGTAGTGACAAATTCCTCATTACAATTAAATGGAACTTCCAATGCTGCTCTGTGACGAGCAATTCGCCTTGCCAGTGATATGCCTTCAGCAGGCAACTTTTTTTCCATGTCAGAGATCAACTCCCAATGGCGTCTAGCAGAACTTAAAATCAGTTTGTCGTGAGACATCTTAGAAATGGACTTTTTCCAGATGTGTCTAGTAGAATATCCAATTAGCAGCAAAATATTTTCATAAGCATTGACATAGTGTATCCATTGACGTACAACACCTACTAATCTATGCAATGACAACATCGGAGTTAGAGTTACAAGGCCAATTCTGCTGGCAGCTATCCTCCATAATTCCCTAGCACTTCTAGCATGATTGTACTTATTAGACAGCAATTTGTGTAAAAGTAGACATGCAGAAATGTCATCTGGAGAGAATGAAAAAGCTAATTCTGGAAAACACAGGGTGCAATGTGCCAGCTTAAGATCTTTGAATTTAATGGAAGTTTGCATATCAGAAGAAAGCAAAACATGGTCTGCCATATTTTTTCCAATTAATCTGACCCTGAATCCAATTCCTTTTAACACAAGAGTGCTCTCTTTCATCGGCATAAAAATTGTACTAAGTAAACCTCTGAGAATACATTTTTTATCAAGATACTTAGGGCTTGCACTAAATTCCTTTATTTCCCCAAAACACATAAACTCGTCATTTAAGACTGGGAATTGAACCTCCACGTGAATGCAGTGTGCCACTAGATGACAGTTTTTCAGAATAAGATTCCAAAAAGCTGTTGTAAAATCTTTTCTCTCAGGAACAGCAAATAAGATCCTCTCCAAAATGTGATGCAATGAACAGCCCTACAATTCATACAAATTACAGAAGGTAACTGGAAACAGTAATCACCAGAATGACATTATATTTAACATATTGATTCTGCACACGAAAGCAAAAAGTCAGCAGCTTGTGTATGTCGCTCTCTTAGGATCTCTGAAGCATGGGTACTTCATTTTGTCAATCGTATCTACACCCAATATTTACCAAGTACCAATACACATTGGGTACACTTGAGTAGTTCTCAAACTTAACTTTAAAAGAAATGTGGCTTAAGTATGACCCCAATGAGACTAGTAGTATTCCCTCATTATAAAGACATATAAAAACTGTTGAAGGTTAAAACAAGAAATTGAGACAGCCACAATCTTCCATGCTCAATAAACCTAACTACTTTCTTTCATTATTTTCCATTATATTAAATATATCTTGTACAATTTCATTCTAACTTCTACGGAATAAAAGGTTCAAATTCATTTGATTCTAAAGCATAGTATCCACACTACCATGCAAATCAGCACAGGGCTGTCTGATTGATTTATTTAAAAGCAGTTTTTTGTTTTCAAAAACTAAAACTCAGTAAAAAATTGTTTGGAAGTCTATTTTTCATCTCTTTATTTTAATCACTTGTTTGTAACAGTCTGTTTAACTTGTGTTAATTTGTTCTCTCACACTTACTTCAAACAACTACTATCACGCTATCGCCAAGCATCCTGAGGCTTTAAAAAAACCCCAGAACGAAACTTATCAAACACGTAATTCTGAGAAATAACGTAATAATAGACTCAAACAAGTCAATGAACCAGCCCATCATGTAAAGTAACTGATACGAAAACATCAACTATTTTAAATCTCAGTCAATTCGTAGAAAATCCGTCATTAGATTAATGAAGAACCTCACCAAGTAACGAGACTCATCATCTACCTCAGTGTGAATGGCAAATTCAAATTTAAATAAGCACGTCCATTACCTCAGGATCAAGCGCCGAAAGCTTCTCTCTGAGATAATCCGAATAATCAAACTTCGAAGTTCGCAACCGCCTCACGCATCCCTCCGCTTCCGGCTTCCTTCAAAACCAAACAGTTACGTCAGTTACAGAAATTAAAAAAAAACAACAAAAACAAAAGGAGGAACAAAGCTTGTTAGAGATTCTGCTTGTGTCAATTTGATTACTCGAACGATTGCACGATGCGCACGCCGTGAACTTCGATCGTGAAGGCCGGGACGTGCCAGGTCGAGAAGCGAACGGCGATGCGTTCGACGGTGATGTCCTTGAGGAAGAAGAGCGTGGGAGCGTAGAAGAGTTGGTTGAGAACAGAAACGTCGAAGCGAATGTTGGTGAGAACGGCGAGAGAGTGGAGGAACCCTAATTGGAGATGGAGTTGTGGCTCTTCTTGAAGCCATGGCTGGAGCAGAGACAGTAGTCTCCGCCGGATGAAGTTTTTCAGGGGCATTGAAATAGTGAGAGTGATGTCATGGATTTGTTGTGAATTTGTTGAAGGAAGGATTCAACAGAATTTTAAGTGTCGTAGTGGAATGGCTGTGTGACTCGGCGGGAAAGAGAAATTGTTGGCCCACATATCTCTGGGATTGGACGGAACCGTACGCGTGTTGAGTGGCCAACTTGGCAAGCCCTTTGATGAGCCTCGTGTCAGACATGACCAAATTGTCTTCATTCTTCCTATCGTTCAGCAAGTATCTTTCTTTCTTTTCTAGGAAGCTTGGAATTTTCCTGAAAAACAAATAATTAATCGTCAGTTTAATCTTGTTTGTTTTGTTTTAGCTATTTTAAACGAGATGTATTGAGGATAAAATTTTATTGTAGCTCTTAATCTTAAGATTTTTTTATTTAAATATATATTATTTATTAAAAGCAATCATTATAGTTTTAAGATATTTTAAAATAATTATAGAAGCTTTTCTTTAAGTTTAAAAGTAATTAATAACAAATACAAATGTATAAAATAATAAATAAAGATGTATCTTTTAAATCAAATGAAGATATACGATTTTTTTAATTATTGATATATATATATAGTAAATTGCCAATAATACAAATGAGTTATACTTGAGTATTAGATGTAAGAAGAAAGAGATAAACAGTCTAAAAAAAGGCAAAGTAAAAGTGTATACAGTTTACTCATTACATAAAAAAAAAAGTTTCTTTATTTAGAAAAATACTTAATTATTAATTAATGGAAGAGAAAACGAATTTTATCTTCTAACTACTTGACTCACCAAATTAATCACTCAAATATCTAAATTGTTACTATTTTAGTTTTTTAAATTTATTTTTGTCAAATTAATCATTTTGACATCACTTTTATTTAAATATTTTTAAAAATTTAATTCATCACCAAGTTAAACTTTGTCATTTCAATCATTTTTAAAGACCAACATTTTATATATTTATTAACTTATTTAACCGAAAAAACTTAAACTTTTAATAGAGTAATTAAGTGACAAAATTTTTAAAAGAATAAAGGCTTGTTTGTTTTCCGTTTCCAAAACAATTTTTTTAAGTTAAAAAAAATAAAACTTATTTGTTAAGATGATTTTTCAAAAACTATTTTAAAAATAATTTTTTATTTTCAATTTTTAAAAATAAAAATAGCTTTAAGGTGTTTTGATTTCTTTTATTTTCTTATTTTAAAAACTAAACTAACAAACGGGTTTTTTTTTTATTTTTTCCTAAAAGCTATTTCTTAAAATTATTTTAAAATATAAAATTTAAAAATTTAAAACAAAAACAAATAAGCCTTAACATAATAACAATTTAATTTTTTTTTAATAACAAAAATCTTTAAAAAATTATAAAAAATTTCTTCATATCCGGTGGCCTAAATCTTTAAAAGATCTCCTTAGGATACTTTTACCTTTAATTATTTAATTTGACATTTTTTGAAGAATAAAATTATGAGTATCACATTTATTTGATAAATTTCACACTAGATAAATTATTGTGTGTGAATGTAAAATTATAGAGAGGCAAATAAATGAATTTGAGGATAACTTAATCATCTAAGTCAACAATAATAAAATAAATTTACTTTCTCTCTACATTTCAGTTTTTAAAAAAAACAAAAATAAGAGAAAAAAATAACCCCTTATATTTTTTTTTCTTTCCTCTGAGTTTTTAAACAATGAATATATTTACTTTATATTAAAAGAAGGTTGCCTTTTAATACATATCACTTTCTTGCCATTTATATTTATCATTTTGATAGTATTAATTTTTTTAAGTCACGTACTTACAAATAAGTTTAAAGATATGTTAAAAACTGCTAAAAATCTAAAATTTGAGGCATTTTTTCTATAGTTTCTAAATACATTTTAGACATTGTATCTTCCTAATTATTAAATCAAATTTAAAATTTGACACTTCAATCATGTTAAAAAAATCTAGACCAATTTAAACGAATTAACTGTCATAGGACTAAAAACTCATGTCATTGAAGTATAAATTATATTGGAAAAAAGTATAAATTATATGTGAAAATTGAAAAAAACATTAGAAATCAAATATTCATTCCTTGAAAGTGTGCATATTTTTCATATTTATAAGAAGACAGTATCATTTAATTGTCTCATGTTAATAATATCAGTAAGTCTCAAAGTTAATCATTAACTAATGTGGGACAACATCTATATAAAGCTACTTTTAACTATAT